AATGTAGTGTCATCTTCTGGCACTCTTCCGATTAACAGTCCCTTATTATTCAAAGACAAAAAATCCCATTCAGGGCCTCAAGAAGAGGTCATTGATAGGGACTTGAGAGGTCATGTTGTTAAAAATATGGATAATAAGGGACCGGTATTCGGAAGAGTGCCGTAATTTTCTTTTCTGTATTTTTATGAGCAAACATGTCTGACATGGTAGCATAAAGTTAGTTGCGTATCCTTTACAGGATGTTGCAGAACCAACCCCAACAGCCCCTGGCTGTTGTGTGGTTTTTCTAGGCAATTTATGTCCAGTAATTTGCCATATCTTTCTAGACGGTCAGCTTTCTTGATACCACTGTTGAAACCAACACAAGGCGCAAGGCCCGCAGCTGGGATCGAACCCGGCATCCCTGCATTACGAAGCATTCACATCGACTTAGCCACAGAGCCGACGGTAGCATAAGATGGGCATAAAATATGCTTTGTGTGAGATGTTTCTTTATTCTAAGTGGGACTGTCTAATGTTGTAAGAGGTAGGCTAGCTCTGTAGTGCCCCAGTATTTGGTTTTATCTGCTGCGTACTAAATATATATATATATATATATATATATATATATATATATATATATATATATATATATATATATATATATATATATATATACTACACACACACAACAAATATATATATATATATATATATATATATATATATATATATATATATATATATATATATATATATATATATATATATATAAATATATATATATATATATATATACAGATTTTAACCCAGTGAAAGAGTGGTCATTATCAAGTGCCTTACTGATTGGCGTGTTTGATATTTCTTTTCCACATCTTGTGATCTTCAACATCTTTTATAATGTTTAAGTGCTTATATTTTTCCAAGCCACAACAAAAGGCTGTTAAGAATCTTCTCTTGTTGTGTACCTGTACATCTTCACAATCCCAGTATATATATATATATATATATATATATATATATATATATATATATATATATATATATATATATATATATATATATATATATATATATATATATATATATATACAGATTTTAACCCAGTGAAAGAGTGGTCATTATCAAGTGCCTTACTGATTGGCGTGTTTGATATTTCTTTTCCACATCTTGTGATCTTCAACATCTTTTATAATGTTTAAGTGCTTATATTTTTCCAAGCCACAACAAAAGGCTGTTAAGAATCTTCTCTTGTTGTGTACCTGTACATCTTCACAATCCCAGCATGCTTCACTTTTTCTTTCCTTTCACAAATTTCCTTCAAGCTTATCCCAGACAGGAGACCATTATGATAGGTTACATAAGTTTATGAACAAACACTGATTAACAATGATCTTTTCAAACTCACAGGCTTATGTATATATATATGTGTGTGTATGAATATATTCTTATCATACCATTGCTGGTCTACCCCTGTTAATCCTGATTCTTCTTCTGTCGTATATCAGCCAATGAAACATAGGTCCTCAACCAGCTCATACCAGATCATTCTATCCTTTGCTGTTGCATGCGACACACCCCATGTCCTCTCTGTCCTTTTGTTTTTCAGCAGGGCATCATCATTCTTTAATTAGAAGAGCCCCCACCCCACTTCCCCAGTCTTTATTGGCTGGCTATTACATATTTCTCTTCAAGACTTTTCCATGGTTGGTAAGTTTTTATTGCTGTTTAAAAAAAAAAATAAGATGAAGTAGCTCAACCCAAGCCCAACCCTACCCTTAATGACCTCTTATGACGTGCCTGGTAAGATGCAGTGTTGCTATTCTTTGCTTCTCATGAGGGCCTCATAAACACATTGGTGTGGCTGAGTACAATCTCAGGTTTTAAAGGCAAGAGAATAGAGTTCACTTATGGCTTGGTTGTCTCTACTTACTGCAGCTGTTCACCTGCTGAGTTTTGCACAAAGCACAGACACAGAGTTCTGAAGCTCCAGCAGTAATCCCCAAAGATCTCAGAAACACCCACTTCTTGCAAACAGAGGGATGTAGCCTGAAACTTACCATATGACTTTCCGAATATGATGCAAACAGCATTACCACAGTCAAACCCCCCCCCCCCCCCCCCCTTTCCCCCACCAGGCATCCTCAGGTGACAATATGAATGATGTCTATAAATATAACAGTCCTTACAGATCAGGAATCTGTTTTAAAGTTTTCTTTCACTAATTACTAGTATTGATGTTTTGTGAGTAAAAATGTTTGTGATTTTTTTTTGGTATTTATAACTTGTTTTTTGGTTTGTTTAGGTATAGCAGCTAGAATAATTAGAAAGCAGCATGCGCGAACTTCCAAGGCTTTCCCTAGCCTTGCGTAGATTTGGAACAGTTTCCTTGCAAGAAGATGAAGAGCAAGTTAACGATATTGCTCTCAGGAAGTCACTAGCTTTAGAAAAGCAGAAAGAGAAGAATATCTCATGGAGTAACCTAGTCACCTTTGTCAAAAAGAATGCCAGTGCGAGTCACAGTGAAGTAGCTGCTACGTTAAAACAGCTTCTGACCTCTGCTAAGGCTATTGGTAAGTCTCCTAGCTTAAACTCTTTTAGTACCAGTAGCTCACCACATGTTCATTTATTATTCTGTATATTGTTTGTTTCTTAACACATTTTGTTCCATTCTTTTGTTACATCATACCCTAGCTTCACCACATGTTCACACATTATTCTGTATGTTGTATATGTTTCTCAAAGCATTTTGTTCAATTTTTCTGTTACTTTAATCCATTATGTCCTAGATTTTGCTCTGACTGCTTCTGTCCAATTATTGTATAGTTTTAACCATGAATTCAAAGATTTTCACTCTAAAGTACACAGACTTTGGGATTCAAAGTGTTTTAGAAACAACTGCCTGCTACCAAAAGGTTAAAGTATATTTTGTGTTGCTTTGTTTCTTAACTTGTTAGCTTCGGTAACTCTTACACCCCTAAAGCAGTAGGTTTACAAGAGCAGAACTCTTGTATAGCCATAAGGTCCCAAGTAATCAGGAGATGAAAAAAAGATGCTGGTGTACAATAAGAAACATGTTGAGAAAACCTAAGAACAGCTGAACTAGAATGTCTTTGCATTAGAATCCATGGGCATAGAAACAAAAGCAGACCCCCACCCCCCAAAAAACCACTAGGATGGGGGGGGGGGAGGAGTAAAATAAAAAAGGTAGGGGGGGGGGGGACATGGGATGAGCTGCATGCAGTAGTAAAGGTTAGAATGACTTGGTGGGAGTTGGTTGAGGGTCTATACTCCCTTAGGAAAAAGGGCAGAAGAAAATGAAGGTCCCCAGTAAAAACCATTTCACAAGGTTGAACATATTCGTTCCTGTTAAATATGTCCTACCTGGTTGTTGTGGTTTCAAACTTTCAAGTATCAGTTCTGGAGGGAAAGGGATCAAATCCATTGTTAGTTTAATTTTGAGGTAAAGAAAATCAATAGTGGGTACTCTAAAAGGGTTGGTCTGTTCTGAGAATTTCTAAATCATAACTTAATGAGGTAGACAGAGTGCCTCTGATGTTTGCAATGTTAGCAGAGTCTAGAGCAATAACAGATAACAATTTTACAGGCTTTTCTGAACTAATGTGGAAAGTTGACCCTCTGAATGGCTACACTAATCCTGGAGCTCCAGATTTCATATTGCAGAGAAATGAATCTCTCCATGACCTTTGATATAAGAACAAGTCCCAATCTCTCTTCTGTCTCTCTTGTGTTAAAAGACTTATAAAAAGGGTATAATTAGGGATACATTTTGATCCTCACTAGTGTTACAGAGTACTGTATCTGACTACCAAATAACACTGAAGCACTTTTGGAAATATCTATATTTACAGTGATCACAAAGCCATTCCAAATAAAACACTTCACTAGGTGCAGCACTGATACTTGCTTTAGCTCTGCTAACAAAGAGCTAAATTTCATGAATGAGTAATACTTTGTATTTTGTAAGCGTTATAAATATTCCAGCTGTTCAAATTGATATTTGTAAGGGAGAAAAAGAGCTGATCAGCAGAACTATACATTTTTATCTATATATAAAACATTATTTAGCAGTGTCTCTATTGTGTCTGTACTTCATCACAGTATCATACTACATTAATGAACATAGCTTTTCACTACTAATGCTAATCTGAGTACAAATTGCTGTTAGAATGGTATTATTCCATGTATATGCAAAGTTGTCTTGGATACATAATACTTGCTGGCATGTAACTTTTAATTTGACATGTAGTGTTAAAATTAAAAAAAGCAATAATAATGTTCGTAACTCTTTTAGTCTCAAACAATGCAGTATATGTGATAAGCTGTTGTCCTTAAGTACCAACAGCCTGTAATCTAATTTGTCACATACTTTGGTGAAGTAGTCAAGCCGTTTGCCTCGCTCTCTGACGGTAGTGGGTTCATTTCACTGTTGCGTTGTTCATTTCATCAGTGCAATTTTTACAGAGTTCCCTGGGGATCGTGGCTGGAGCTATGGAGTTCTTGCTTGTGTGCGATGCTCTCGGCAGGTGGCTAGCCTTTCTGCAGAGAGAGACCTAGCAGTATGAGATAAAACCAATTCAATGAAGTTGATCCTCTCGACTTTAACCTTAAAAACACCCGGCGCACTAACTAAGTTGGTTAAAGCAGCAGCACGGCAACCGGGTGATAAACCGCTTGTGGTTGAATTCTGCTCGGGTGTAAGCAGAAAAGTAACAAATTTTCCATTTTTATGGTATCTGTCATGCTGAAGGGTTGGGATATCCATAGTACCGAGCCAAAAGTTATACAGCTCATGGTTTCTGAATTAAAAAAAAACCTTACGAAACTGGCTATTAATTTTATTATAGAAAATTGTCTATGTTTTATACCTTTTGTGTTTGTTCATATTCTATCTCTGTCAAGGTAAAGATCAGATGATTTTTAAATTCTGGCTTTCATTTGATTTCATCATATTTTGTGAAATCTTTGTGGACTGAATAGTTTACCTTTATTTTCCACAGTTGGTTCAGAGGAATCAGAAGACACAGTTGAATGTGGTGCAGCTTTCCTGTTTGATGTCTTTAAATCAGTGGACAGTGTTGGGAAGAGAGAAGCTACTCAGTTACGCAGCACATTTGGGCCATATCCAGCCACTGCTGCAACTAAAGTTTGTCAGACAGTTCGCAAAATTGTTGGCTGGATGCCTGAGTCTGCTCTTGCAGAGTTGACTTCGGAACGGGAAGAAGGCAGGTGGCTTTTGTTCTGTTCTATTATACAGTTCAAGTCAGAAAATAGTTACACAATTATTTGCTCCTGTTTTTCATGTGACACGTATTATTGCTACGGAAATGAGATCATTAGAAGAGCAGTTCTTGAAACTCACAGTAAACAACATGACAATCCCCAAACTGCTTGTTATTCATATCAGAACGTAATCGGAACTGCTTTTGGAAATTTGCTTTCTGAGATTTGCACTCTGGAACATGTGGTCATATTTTTTACCTACCTTCTAGATCAGGGCTATTCAACTGGTGGCCCGAGGGTTGAATCTGGCCCGCATAGACCTAGCAAGTGGCCGCAGACTGTTGCCAAGTGTTTTGTATTAATGATCTCTATGCTGGGGCTGTATAAATGCAGTTTTCTGTATTGTTTAGTAATTATTTTGTCGTGTATGTATTCAGTTTTATCTGTTATCTGGTATTACTTTGTATGTATGCAGTTTTCTCTGCTATCTGGTATTATTTTGTCTTGTCCCTTCATCTTAGTTCACCTACATTATTTTTGTTTACAGGATAAAATTTCTTGGAGTGGACCTGCTATATTTGTGTCTTTTGGCTGACAGATCTGTTTTTATTCTGGTATTTGTTATCTGGGTTTAGTATACAGGTTTGTATGTGGTATTTACAAACTCAGATGTACAGTCTACCAATGGTTACTTAAAAATAATTCTGTGTCATTTTTACTAGGGAGTTGGCCATAATGCCACCTCAGCTGTTTTTTTTAGAGAAGACAGCACTTCCTCCTCCCATCACCACTGCTCTTTCTCCCAGCCCCTGCGGCTCAGCAAAAAACCTGCTGTGATATGAAATGATGATGCATCAAATTTACATTAATCTTGTTTCCTTCATAGGTGATGGTGCCGCAAGTAGTGAAGAATTTGGCCATTCTATAAAGTTTGTCACACCTGAGTTTGCAAGTGATGATGAAGAAGACTTATCCAGCGAAGAGGATAATGATACAGAGAAAGAGACCACTAGAGACTTTGACTTGAGGTACAGTGGAAATGCAGCTAGATCAAATAGTAGTAATGCTGCTCTAGCTGAAGCAAAGACTGCTGGGAGATACTCAGGGTTTGATTCTGCTTGGTTGAAGGCCAAGGTCAATGAATATTTTGAGAATAATGAGACAGCCTTGAACCTTGGTATAGACGAGCTGACATCCACAATCTTTGAAATTCTGAGTTCACAGCGAAGAGATGATGAACTTCAGAATGAGGTGAGTTCACTATTTGCCTGTTTTTGCTTAAAATTAAATAATTTCTTGTTTTTAGCAACTGCTAGTTATTGAACTTTGTTAATATGAATAAATAGTTACTTTAAGGATAAAATGTCTAGATCTGAAGGAAGGTGAATATTACCACTATGAAGCAAAAGAAGTTAAATTAACATTCTTTAGCATTGTCTGCCTGATGATCCATGCATTAAAAAGGGTTCCTGTATGGAGTGTTAATTTGAAACTAATTTCAATGGGTTTATTACAAAAGCATGAAATAAGCATCAACAAGTGTTGCAGAATTAAACATAGCATTAATTTTGAATGAATTATACACTATGAGTTGGTCACCACCAAAAGTCACCGCAGACATTCAGGCAAGCATCCCATTGTTTAGGTAGGTGGTGCATGCTGTCTACGAAAAAGATTGTGGTTGCTCACTGAACCAAACATTAACCCCATTCATTATATGCTACATCTGTGTGAAATTTGTGGTGCCCACTGTGAACACACTTTCCATAACTGCAGTTTCTTACGAACAATCTTTTGATCTGTCCCAGTTGACAGACTGAACAGATGCATTGACAACAGTTCACATATATTGCTGTATTAATTTTGGCGATTTTTGTTGTTTTGTTTTGTTTTGTTTGCTGTTGCAACAAAATGCACTTGACATGGTCATGGAAGGTCTGTCATGAACTCACATCCTTTCTGAAGCATGTGTGCCCAATCTCCACTATTGTATTTGACACACATTTGTTTCTGTATGTTGCCTGCATTTTTTCTGTGAATGTCCACTGCGGACATCCTTCAAATAAAAGTAACCGAATCACGCTCTTTAAGCTTATTTGGGTTGATTTTGGATCAACCCGGCCATTTTCTCAATAGCTAGAAACAGAACTTGTGCATCGTAGAATGATAAACATCTGCTCTTTTTTTTTTTTTTCACTAGTCAGTATTTATCACATGAATATGACATGATCATGTTCAGCGTATGCAGTTAAGCATGATGTGGCATGAACAGGTTCCAAATGATTGCTCCAACTAGAATTCCTCTTCCTTAACTGATGTACAGATGTGCTTGACAATTAGGATTTCTTTACATGTTTGCTACCCTATATTATCGCATAATTCATCTACATAAAATGTTGCTTCAGTGTTTGGTATGTCACTGTGAATGTGTTTGCTTCTCATATACCCAATGTTTTGTATGGTTTTCTACAGCTCTTTGACCTGCTAGGCTTTGACTGTTTTGAGCTGATTCAGCAGCTCCTGGAGAACCGAACCAACATTATTAAATCTCACACAGTGGAGACTACAAGGGCCATTATCCAACAAATTCCAAGTTAGTCACGGTTGCTTCCTTGTGAACTGTAAATGTAATCATTGTTGATTGTCCTGGTTCACAGTGGAAATTTGATATGACTCTTTCATCCTTGAAATGTGCAAAGGGTGTTATCAACATACTTCATGATAATGGAAACTATAGACCATAGGGAGCTGGGAGAATTTGCCTCATACCATGCCATGTTGTGAAAATGAGGGTATTGAAATGTTATATAAAATCTTCTCTAGCATCACAGAGAATTTTGCAGCTCGAGCAGAGAGCTTAGGAAGTTCTGGGAGGCAACAAAAATATGGTTAATACATAAGTTGTATGTTTTTGTGATAGCCAAGCTAGAATAACTAAGAGTGATTGCTCAAAGGTTCTCAGACAGTGATTACCTGCAGAGAGTAGTGGCTGGTCCAACAGTTACGAATGCTGGGCTCTTATGTAAGGGATTTAGGTTCGACTCCTGGGTAAAGTTAGGAGTTTTCCCTGTCGGGGGCAAAAAATACGATCCTAACCTGCACAGTATGTGGAGACTACACTAGCTAGGCAGTCCTAACTCCTCAGGTTGAAATACCTCCCTGCCTACACTGGAAAAGTTGTAAATGCAAGCAGTAATGGCAGATTGTCTGCAGTGTAAAAAGGTAATGACTTAATTTGCAAGAAGATGTCACTGTAGGCATAAATGGCTTGGGCATTCTATCAAATATGGGCAGTGCCCTCTCTTAAAGACATTGCAACCTACTTTGAATATATTTGCAATCAAAATCATAGTCATGAGAAAAGAAAAACAAATATGCCAACAAAAAATGTATAAAGGAAGAGATTCAGAAACTCTTTTAGGACGGCATTTTTTCTGGGGTTTGGACAGCATTAATTTTAAGCGGAATTTTTTAAGTGCAACACGGCAAAGCTAAAACCTTCCTGAAGAAAAAGTATGGGCTGTATCAGGACTTATAATATATCAAATTAAAGGTAAATGAGTGCAGAATAAATCTAAACTACTTAAATGTCAGTATAACATCAAAATATTATTAAAATCACACAACATTCAAGGATGTTAGACACAAAGGACAATTTTAAACATAAAAAACATTGATCTAATTGAAATATTTTGTGAAATTTTCATATCCTAAACTAAATTATCGCTAGTAGATGTGTCCCTTAGATATCAATCATAATATCAAGACTGTTGTCATCATCTGGCAGGGATTCATCAACGATAGAGCAGTATGGACAGTTCTAGACGTTTTCCCTTATCATTTAGTATAGAAAAATCACGTAAAAATTGTATCACATCTAAATAATTTTTTTTTAATCACAAAATAATGCACCGACCTCGATGAACATCGCAAATGAAAGTACACCCCTGTTGTTAATCCTAATTGTTAAAAAACTTGTTCATAAAAGTTTGTTTACCCTATAAACGGAACAAAATTAGAGTGTCTCTATCATGAGCCAGTAAACTGGCTTTACGTCTTTAAGGGATAGTTTTAAGCGCCAGTATACTGGCTAAACGTCGGAAAAGAGTTAAGACTACAAGGAAAGATGTCAGACAGTATGGCATAATGACAGAGGTTAGTAGGGTAGTTGCGTATCCTTTACAGGACGTTGCAGAACCAACCCCAGTAGCCCCTGGCTGTTGCGTGGTTTCTCTAGGCAAATTTACGTCCAGTAGTTCGCCATTACTTTCTGGACGATGGGCCCCCTGATACCACCGTTGAAACCAACGCAAGGCACATGGCCAGCAGCTGGGATCGAACCCGGCATTACGAAGCGTTCTCATCGACTTAGCCACAGAGCCGACTAATGACAGAGGGGCATCAATAAAAAGCAAATGTATTGATAGTACACATGACAGTAAGCTGTGAATAGACATAATAGCAACTCCCTGCAACATGAACATTAGAAAGAAGATATTTGCAAATATTTCAAAAATTAATGCTACTGCTGACAAAATATAAATTAATATTTATTTTCTAAAATTCAGTTGAAGCATCCTCTCTGTGTGGGTTCTGTGACCCCTTTTGGGGGAGAACAAGAATATACCCACTGCTGCTGTAATACTTGTGTCACAAAAGATGACACTGGCTGGCAACAGATGTCTTGGGCCGAAAGGTGCAGAAATCATAGCCTTGCTGTAAACCACACCTTGTAGCAACCACCTTTTTATTTGTGATCGTAGAAGTAGAAGTTAAAACATACTTTGCTAGCAGCTGAGATCCTTTGAGAAGATTGAGAAAAAAAAAAAAAAATGCCATTCTTTTAGGACTGTGTATTTACCTGGTTGGAAATGAAAATTAATGAAAATGTTCATTTCCAACCAGGAAAATTCACAGTCTTAAAAGTATGGCATTTCTTCTTTCTTAATCTTCTCAAAGGATCTCAGCTACTAGCAAAGTATGTTTTAGCTTCTTCTTCAAGCTCTAGAGCCTGTTTTACATGGTTGCTCAGATGGTCTGCCAGTAAAAAAAAAAAAGGACCCTTTTCACATCTTAGGCGTATAGAGCATATAGGGCTAGACCTATATTTTATAGACCAACGGCACAAGATGGGTGATGTGGTCAGCATCACGCCAGCCGCCTCTACTTCCCAAGACTCCACCCGGTAACCACTCAAGGCTGGGTCGACCTGAGAGCCAAGGTCATTTTTGAAGAAATGTCCGGCTCTGCCAGGGAGCGTCCCCATGACCTTCTGATCCGCGGCGCACGTCTAGCCGCTCTGCCACAGCCACTCCCCATGGTCTGCCAGAGAAGAGTTTAACAGGAGTGACCCTGCAAGTCAAGAGTCTCAGCAGTAATGAAGACATCAGCCACATGTGTTAAGAGTTAGTTTTTATTAACTGTTTTTTGTTGTTGTTGTTGCAGAAAGGAAACCTGAGAATGAACGGCCAACTTATGGATGTCAAGTGACAGTGCAGGTTAGTTTTACAGTTCTCTGCTAATGAAAATGTTAGGCCAAAATCACTGGTGCAGCTGTTTAAAAAAAAAAATTTTAATTGTGGTTAAACTAGAGCCAACTTATGGATGTCAAGTGACAGTGCAGGTTAGTTTTACAGTTCTCTGCTAATGAAAATGTGAAGGCCAAAATCACCAAAAATTGTGGTTAAACTAGAGCTGTTTTAGCTATACTATAGCTACTTTATGACAAAAGCTCGCCAGGATCAAGTGGACAGTGCTATAGAACATCAGAGAATCCATACATTGAAAGGCCAATGCAACAGGTGGGGAGTAGATGTTCTGAAAGATATTCAGCTCTGAAGGGGAAACATAGGCAGACTTTTAATCAGGTTACAACTGGCAATGTTAGCATATTGACTCTTCTTTGGCTACTGAGAAAGGTGATGGAGCACATGTGGGAGTGTCTTAAGTGCGGTGATGTCAGTTCTTCATTGATTGATTCATTCATTTGGTTATATTACTTAACACAGCTAAAAAATAGTACAGGAAAAACTACAGGAAGAAATAATCAGGCAGAAATAATAAGGGGTTCGTATGCTGATGGCTCAGCTTTCTTAGTCTCAGATCACCATTGAAGCAGATTTCGAAAATTGAACTGGACTCCAAGGTCGATCTCATCAAAAGTGAGAGCCAGGAAAGTCAAGCTGGCAGGAGCGATATTGGAATTACCCACTGAGTACATAGATTCTGCGTCTTTTGTCCTTGTGCTGATGTCATAAAGCATTGCAGAGAGAAGTTAGATGTAGTTTCCTTTCTTTTTCTAGTTGCGTAGCTTGTTTTGATGTCATATTGCATTTCTGTAGTCTTTTACTCCCTCCACCAACTCATTTTTGGTCAGCCTCTTGTCTTGTCGCCTGCTGCTGTTATCAGGTAATACACTTAAGCTGCTGGCTGATTTGGTTCCATTCTGACCAGGTAACCAAACCATTTGATTCTTTGACATTCTGTGAAATCATTTACTGGTTGTACACGCAAAACTCAGGTCAAGGTAAAAGCCAAAAGTCCATTTGGACGAACAACCGCGACTTACCGCCGGAATTCACAGCCGGTGAACAAGAAGAAGAAGAAGATTTACTGGTACTATGTCTGACATTGTTCTTAGTTCATTGGTGACTCTATCTCTTCTGGTTTTTCCCACAGCATTTCTTATGCATCTCATCTCACATTTTGTAATATTGCATTTATGTTTTTGTAAGACTGTCCATTGATAGCACACAGCTGGTACAAGTAGCTCATTTATCAGCTGATTTGTTTTCCAGACTTGTTGATATATGAGTATGGATTGGTGTGTACAAATATGAGCCTAGCACTGTGGGCCCAACACACTTCAAGGCTTGGAATTAGCTCATTTACCTTATGGTCAGACACACAGACGAAAGGAAAGATTGGAGCAGGGAGCAAGAGATCTGCAGCATTCTTTATGTTAAGAAAGAGAGACCGATCCACTTATGATAACACCTGATGCATAATGGGCATGTGTGACTAGATATGTTTTCTTGGCCAGTCAGCACTTGGTGGGTGATGTGGTCAACATTACGCTGGCCACCTTTACTTCCCAGGACTATACCTGGTACCCACTCAAGACAGGGTCAACCTGGAGCCAAGGTCATATTTTAAAAGACGCCCGGTTCCATCGGGACCCGAACCCATAACCAGCTGGCCGCTACGCCACAAACATCACTTATTGAAGAATTTTATGGCTTTGGTTTTTGTTGTGAACTGCAGGTTCAGAAAACGGTCAGTGTCTGTTGTATAGAACTGGTGCTGTCTTATGCATTATAGCATGTGCAGCCGACGATCCGTTATAATTACTGCTTATATCAGTGAGCTGCAATTCTAGTGGCAGACTGTGTTGGCACTTCTGATGGCTGTCTTTTGCGTATAATGCATGTGTATATGCTGTTGGTTTTGCTGAGACTGCAATCTGTTTAATTTTCTTGACAAGGGACATGGACGGGCATTTGGTGACATTTTCATTGGCACAAGAACAGAGCAGCCGTGGGATGACTCGTTTGCCATGGTGTTGGAACTGTGATTAACTGATTAATGTAAATAAGTAAAGTAAAAGTAAAGGACCCTTTTCCACGCCTTTAGGCGTATAGGGCATATTGGGCTAGGCCTATGTTTTGTAGACCAGTCGGCACAAGATGGGTAATGTGGTCACCATCATGCCAGCTGCCTTTTCTTCCCGGGACTGCACCCGGTACCATTAATTTAAATACTTTAAGTGAAAGTATGTGACCATTCATCCTCACATGCTGTGACCATTCATCCTCACATGCTGTGACCATTCATCCTCACATGCTGTGACCATTCATCCTCACATGCTGTGACTATTCATCCTCACATGCTGTGACTATTCATCCTCACATGCTGTGACTATTCATCCTCACATGCTGTGACTATTCATCCTCTCTGGCTGTGACTATTCATCCTCACATGCTGTGACTATTCATCCTCACATGCTGTGACCATTCATCCTCACATGATGTGACTATTCATCCTCACATGCTGTGACTATTCATCCTCACATGCTGTGACTATTCATCCTCACATGATGTGACTATTCATCCTCACATGCTGTGACTATTCATCCTCACATGCTGTGACCATTCATCCTCACATGCTGTGACTATTCATCCTCACATGCTGTGACTATTCATCCTCACATGCTGTGACTATTCATCCTCACATGCTGTGACCATTCATCCTCTCTGGCTGTGACTATTCATCCTCACATGCTGTGACCATTCATCCTCTCATGCTGTGACTATTCATCCTCACATGATGTGACTATTCATCCTCACATGCTGTGACTATTCATCCTCACATGCTGTGACCATTCATCCTCTCTGGCTGTGACTATTCATCCTCACATGCTGTGACCATTCATCATCTCATGCTGTGACTATTCATCCTCACATGCTGTGACTGTTCATCCTCACATGCTGTGACCATTCATCCTCACATGCTGTGACCATTCATCCTCACATGCTGTGACCATTCATCCTCACATGCTGTGACCATTCATCCTCTCTGGCTGTGACTATTCATCCTATCTGGCTGTGACTATTCATCCTCACATGCTGTGACTATTCATCCTCACATGCTGTGACTATTCATCCTCACATGCTGTGACTATTCATCCTCACATGCTGTGACCATTCATCCTCTCATGCTGTGACTATTCATCCTCACATGATGTGACTATTCATCCTCACATGCTGTGACTATTCATCCTCACATGATGTGACTATTCATCCTCACATGCTGTGACTATTCATCCTCACATGCTGTGACCATTCATCCTCTCATGCTGTGACTATTCATCCTCACATGCTGTGACTATTCATCCTCACATGCTGTGACTATTCATCCTCACATGCTGTGACTATTCATCCTCACATGCTGTGACTATTCATCCTCACATGCTGTGACTATTCATCCTCACATGCTGTGACTATTCATCCTCACATGCTGTGATGATTCATCCTCTCATGCTGTGACCATTCATCCTCACATGCTGTGACCATTCATCCTCTCATGCTGTGACTATTCATCCTCACATGCTGTGACCATTCATCCTCACATGCGGTGACCATTCATCCTCACATGCTGTGACTATTCATCCTCACATGCTGTGACCATTCATCCTCACATGCTGTGACTATTCATCCTCACATGCTGTGACCATTCATCCTCACATGCTGTGACCATTCATCCTCACATGCTGTGACTATTCATCCTCACAGGCTGTGACTATTCATCCTCACATGATGTGACCATTCATCCTCACATGCTGAACACTGTTAAACCAGATTATCTGTTGAATATTAAACGTAGCTAATAACACACTTTACTCTGTGACAGTAATCTCAAGTGTTTAGTATTGTTGGAAACACATATTTTTTTTTTAGAGTGCAGAGGAGAAGTTTATCTCTAAACAGATAAGGAAAGAAGAAAAGCGTAGTAAAAAGGACAGAAAGTTCACCAGTGAAGAGGAGGAGATTGCTGGAGTTTTGAACCTGACTCCTGAGGAACTTAGGGCCACCCGGTATGTTGCTGATATATTTGCCATCCAACCTGTCTCTCTCTGTTTTCCATTTCCCCCCAAAAATATTTCACATTTTTCATGTAATGTCAGTTTTGTTAGAGACATTTGTAGAAGCTAGTGCTCAGAAGCATGACTGTTCATTTTAATTTAATCAAGCAGGGTTTAAAAATAACAACACATCTCAACAGGCAGCTGTTTTAAAATTGTCATAAGACATTTTGGTTCTGTCAGTCAAAGCTGATGATTTTAAATTTTTTTTGTTTTTGTTTTTGTAAACAAATTTTAGACCTAAGTGATAAATAAATACATTTTGTTTATATTTTGTCATGTATCTTGATTGTATACAGCTGTGTGCAGCCATACAGCCAGTTGAAACAGATTTCAGTTGCTTGAACAGATTTTATATATAAATTTTTAAATTTTACTTAAAAATGCTTGAATTATTGTCGTCTTTGTTTGTAGTTTTTTAAAATTTACATATACAGTTAATGGGAGTTGTCGTGGCGTTGGCGGCTAGGTGCCTGCCTGCGGATCGGAAGGTCGTGGGTTCGCGCCCTGACTGAGCCGAACTTTTTTTGGTCAAAAATGACCTTGCCCCCCAGGTCGACCCAGCTTTGAGTGGGTACCAGGTGCAGTCATGGGAAGGAAAGGCAGCGGGCATGATGCTGACCACATCACCCACCAAGTGCCGATTGGTCTATAAAAATAAAGGTCTAGCCCTATATTGCCAGTATGCCTATAGATGTGGACAAGGAACCTTTACTCTACCTTACTATATACAGTTAATACACACATTTTATAACAAGCTATGCAATAAATTTGAACCAGAAAATGGAAGTTAATATGAGTATGAGTGCATTCGTTTCTGTGATCAGAGAATGTAGGTTTGTGTTAGTTTGGTAACAGAATTTTTTTTTTTTTTTTTTTAATTATCAGGGAAGCCACCTTGAGAGCAGCTGCGTCTGCTCCTTTGTTTTCTGGGCGCAGTTCTGGCTATGTCAGACAGGAGAGGTATCCCTTCGTCTTTGACAAACTGTCTGAAGCCCAGCAGTCCTCTGCATATGTTTCAGGAACAAAGGTATGTTGAAACCATCTGGTGCTCATGGTCTTACAACAGCATTCATTGTAGACAAAGATGGAGCAACAGAAGTTATAAAACTACTAAAACATAACTCATGAGGAGTTATCATAACAAGAGTAGGTCTGTAAATGTTAAAGGAAATTTAAACTAGTAAAAGCTTAGAATATTTATTTATGTGTGATCAGGTAGCTGCCGTGGTCTAGTGGGTAGGTACTCATATGCAGATCAGAATGTCGTGGGTTCGGGTCTTGACAGGGGCCGGACTTGTTTCAAAAATGACCTTGGCTCCCAGGTCGACCCAGCTTTGAGTGGGTACCAGGTGCGGCCCAGGGAAGTAAAGGTGGCAGGCGTGGTGTTAACCACATCACCCACCAAGTGCTGTTTGCCTAAAGGCGTGGAAAAGGTTCCATTACTTTAAATGTGAGATCAGTACTGCTGCTGAATAGAGTCAAAACATGCAGAATGGCTTAAATCATTACTAAAATAAACTGCAAACAATCGTTACTGGTGCCTTTGCAGAATAGAGGAAATTAAAATAAAATCATTAATGTGGAGCTTTGGGAGAGAAATAGCACACTCCAGTAAATTAATAGGTGAAGAAAGGATGTTGTTACTGGGTCGAACACATTAGACAAGAAAAAGTGGCAGATGAATAAACAGGAAGAAGAAAATTAGAGACAAATGAATAAGATGGAAAGGACACCGGATGAATACATGCAGTGGCAAAGAAAGAATGATTTAGTGTGAGTTGTTAGAGGTGAATGCTTCACTGTGGGACAAAGAACAGAAATAAAGTAAGTTAAATGACCCTTTTCTCACCCTTTTCGTAACCTGGTCTCTTCTTGTGTTGTTAGTGACCTTACAGAGACAGTACATGTAGTTATTTTCTGTTTTAGTGCCCTAGTCATTTTCCATGTTTGGCAATGATAACATAAAGTAGAGATCAAGATGCTGTTAATCATTTGCTATTTTGCTGGAAGAGAGACATTTGGGTGTCTAAGCAGAAGGGCTAACTTGTACGTGACAGCATTTGCCTTTTGTACTTTAGCTTCTGTCTCTTTGTCGGGTCTGCCAACCTCCGTAAATATGCTTCCTTGATATTTGAATTCTCCTACTTGTTTGATTGAGGTACCGTTAACATAAACTTTCATGTTATTATGTTTCCTGCCTATACATCATGATTACGGGAGAGAATCAACTTCATTGTGCTGATGTTTATCCCATATGTCTTGGTCTCTCTCCATAGAGTGGCTGGATGTGAGCCAGCATGTTGCTCATGAACTCGTGACACATCCAGGAATATTCCCAGGGATCCCCAAAACAAACTAAAAGATGAACTCTAAAATCAAAATCACATCCTTCAGAGTACGGTTGAAGATCCCACACAAAAAAGGCTGTTGCACACCATTAAATATGTATTTATGGTGCTGACCTGAAGATGTGACCTGGAGGTGAAGCCTGACCAAGCTTGCTCTTGCCATCTTCAAGGACCAGACAGGAAACATTAGAACCAATTTTTTTTAAATGGTAATAATGAGTAGATGTACCTTGGGACGGCTGCTGCATCAGGCAACCGAGCACCCATGACAGTGGCTGATGTTGATTGTGATAACGTAACATGTCACCATTAGCTATAGCAAGTACATATGACGGATGAGCCTTACCTATATTTTTCATGTACCGTATGAAATGTGTATTATTTCCCTTGTCCTGAAGCTTGTCTTGCCAGAGAACTGCACCCACAAGGATGATAAAATGTATGAGGAAGTGAGCATCCCCCCTAGCGATCCAGCACCAATAGAAATTGGGGAAGCTAGAGTAGCCATCTCCAGCTTAGATGAAGTAAGTATTCAATGAATACAAGTCCTTTCTTTAACACTTTAACAGTCAGTACTCTGAAGTATCACATATTTTGTGACCCAGTGGTTAGGTGGTTAAATATGAGACATGATCAAATGAAAGCCTTCCAAAAAGCTTTACTGCAACTATAAAAAAAGCAAGAGGCTGCCCTAAGAGAAGATGGAGTGCTGAGCTTCTGCATCAACATGGAATGACATTGGCCATTGCTGCAAAACAAGCTAGGATTGCAAACTGTTCCTCCCCACAATGCTTAAGGGCAGAAGTGGAAATTGATGATGAGGATAAAGAAAGGTATGTTAACTGGTTTGGCAAAATAAAACATTGAATTATAATTGCTTTTTAAAAAATCCTTCTTGGTAGAATTCACATTAGACACAGAAAATTAGGTACTCCTGTCAAATCCGGACGAAGACTAAAATGCCTTGGACGACTTAGTCAGAGTTCTCTCCCTTGATCACACTGCAAACAGTGATCGGAAAAGCCACAACGAAACAAAGAAGACAGTGACGTCGACATCAGGGCTGCCAATGCTTGGTTGTTTCCCCCAGATCTGGGTTTTTTTTTCGACGCTGCAGGACAAATCTTGTTTTTATTTTTGGGGTGTGTTTCGTTTGTTGGTTTTTGCCGATTTGTATGCTTTAATGATCGATAAATTTGCGTGGTTAGGGGTAGGGGTTAGGGCTAGGGAGTAGAATTAGGATTAGGGTTAGCGGTAGGGTTAAGTTTAGCGTATTATTTGACAAGTTTGACGCCGGAGTTCCCTATAATCGCGCACAGTCCCATACACACACAAACAATCGAGGGCCTCTGGATGCTAATCAAACGCACAATTCGCCAACGATTGGGGGCACCAGCCGCACGCTATTGGCGTCATATTTGGCAGAGTTTCAGTGGCGCCACTCCCACAAACATCTGATTGTCGGCCAGTATTTCGAAATCCTACGTCAAAATTTTCACATCTAACCCTAACCCTACCCCTAACCCTACCCTTAACCCTAACCCGACCCCTAACCCTAACCCTACCCCTAACCCTAACCCTAACCCTACCCCTACCCCTACCCCTAACCCTACCCCTAACCCTAACCCTAACCCTACCCCTAACCCTACCCCTAACTCTAACCCAACAACCGCATGATGATGACTACACAACCATTCACAATGCCTCACGAAACCGTACGCAGCCCTACACGCAACCGCAGGATGATAGGTAAGTGTGTCGTTTATTTCGTTTGTTTTCCGATTACTGTTCGGAGTGCGGCCAAGGAAGAGAACTCTGACTAACTCGTCCACGGCTGTTTATTCTTCGTCCGGATTTGACAGGAGAGCCGAAAATTAAGATAATGAAGGATAATATTAGCTCTTTCACTCTTAAAAAATCTGTAAAAATGACCTTTCTCTGTCAACTGTCATTAAAGAGAAACACCTCATAATTCTCTTAACACTTTAAGGTTAGTTGCATATCCTTTACAGGACGTTACAGAACCAACCCCAGCAGCCCATGGCTGTTGTGTGGTTTCTCTATGCAAATTTACATCCAGTAGTTTGCCATTGCTTTCTGGACAGTTGGCCCCCGTTACCACTGTTGAAACCAACACAAGGCGCATGGCTCGCAGCTGGGATCGAACCCGGCACCCCGGCATTACGAAGCGTTTGCGTCAACTTAGCCACAGAGCCGACCTTAACACTCTACCTTAAGAAAATAGAGCAAGAGAAGAAGAAGAAATTTAGAGTCTGGGGCAATTTTTCTAAACATCCAGGGGTTGGAACCCACAGACCACCGAGCAGACAGGCATGCGTTATCCACAGTGGCTATCAAATTACTAAAATTATTTATATTTATTTGTATTAATATTTTCTGTGCAAAGTAAGTCCGCAAGGCACCAAAGATGATGATGCACCAAATTTAAATGGCATTAAAGTATAATAATTAATCAGCAAATCCTTTACAGAACGTCGCTCTCTTCACGGCACACCTGAAAATATCCCTTTCCCTAGCCAGCTCTCCGACCCCAAGTGCTTTCAATGCCAATGCATCTTCAGTGTCCTGTTTCCATCTTCGTCAACCCCTGCCTCGCCTTCCACAAACTGCTGCACCCTCCATCACCGTCTTTTCCAAGCCACCAAAATGCTTGATGTGGCCAAAATACTTGAGCTTCCGGGACAGGATGCTGTTTATGAGCCAGTTCTCCTTGATGTTCAACTTGTTTAGAATGTCGATGTTTTTCCTCTTCTTGATCAATGTCATTCTAAGAATCTTTCTAAAATATTTCAATTCAAAAGCTCCAGTCGTCGTTTTCCTCAGTGACTTGAGTGAGAGTCCAGGACTCAAAACCGTAAGTTGCCACAGAAAAAATGCATGATCTCAAGATTTTTACTTTAACCAATTTACTAGCGCTTTGCCATAGATTCTTTATGCTGTTTAATTTCAACTATAAACTCATGTTTAATGCTTCCTTCAACAGATTGCCCAGCTTGCATTTAAAAACACTGAAAGTCTCAACAGGATCCAGTCAATAGTTTTTAATTCTGCCTACAAAACAAATGAGAACCTGCTTATCTGCGCTCCTACTGGAGCAGGGAAAACCAACATTGCCATGTTGGCTATACTACATGAAATCAAGCAGCACATCTCACAGGGAGTCATCAAGAAAGATGAGTTCAAAGTAAGTTGCTAATGTGTCTGTTAATTGGGGAAAGGGGGGGGGGGGGGGGTTCTTGGCTAAGTGCCAGTGGCATTCAATTCATGCTTTGAAGGTTGTGGGTTTCTTAAATGGACTGTGTTTTGTTCAGAAGTTGTGTTAAGAACTAATATCAAAACACTCGAGATATTCCGTCCCCATCTTCAGCAGCTAACGCAGAGCTCCAGTTCCAACGATACCCGTAGTAGTCTGGTTGTACGTCCTGAGTCTTGAGTGTTGGCCAGATTCTCTGGTCCCTCCCAGCTGCACTATTCTCTCCAGACTGATGATCTCTTTGTGCTTCCACAGTCTTCACTCGCTCCCAAAGAGCATTGATTACATCTAGCCTGCCTGTCGTCCATCAGTTCACCACTGAGTGGTGCAGAACCAGCCAGTTTGTCTGTCTGTTTGTCTGTCTGTTTATTTCCTGAAACACCTGTCTACCCTGAAGAATATATCCAAAGAATGCTAACTACTCACGATCTTGAAAGATATTTACCTGGTTCACAAATGCACATTTTACGGCATTGTCGCTGGAGCTATGGAGGTCGAGCTTTGCAAATCGCTATGATCAGACAGATATCTGTTCTGCTGACAGAGACCAAGCATTTGGGATTGTTACAAATGTAGTACTATTCTCTACATAACAAACAATGACAACAGTTGTGCAACAGCTAATTAAAAATAATGTTTATTATTGTGTAATTGGAATCGAATGTATAAGTAAAGCAGTGGACCCTTTTCATGTCATTCGCATACTGGACACATGGTGCTGCACCCATATGTAAAAGTAAAGCAGTGGACCCTTTTCATGTCATTCAAATACTGGACACATGGTGCTGCACCCATATTATGACCGACCAGTTGGCTCTTGATGGGGGGGGGGGGGGTATGGTCACCATCATACTGGCCATCCTTACTTCCCAGGATATGTAAGTCTGTGTTGTCCTAGGAGAGAAGAACAGTTATAAAATTGTTCCTTGATGCAAATCTGAACGCAGAATGTTTAGGGTATTAGACAAACGTCTAGACATCTAGCTGCTGCAGCTTTCAACGCTTTAGTCCCTAGCAAGTTTAACTCTGTCTAGACCAGTGGCTCTTAACCTTCCTAATGCCGCGATCTTTTAATACAGTTCCTTATTTTGGGGCAACCCCCAACCATACTATTATTTTTGTTGCTACTTTATAACTTCAATGAATATGTGTTTTCCGATGGTCCTAGACGACCCCTATTAAAGGGTCATTTGGCCCCCAAAAGGGTCGTGACCCTCAGGTTGAGAACTGCTGCTCTAGACTAAACACTTATTAAAGTAAATTATTAACATAGTTAGAATAAACTAGGGAACATCTAAACCATTTACAATAACATTCGGAGTAAGACAGGAATGTATCTTATCACCACTGCTTTCCTTCAAAGTTGGAATGCGTTTGCCTGAGAGGCAATGAACCAGCAGTCTGCGTACAAAGAGTCAGATCTGTAAAACACTCAGGTTCTGGAACAGGACTGCCGACCAGAAGTGGAGGAACAATCAGACCTTTCCACCAGAGTTTACAGCTGGTGAACGTGAAGAAGAAGAAGATCACCATTGCTGTTCATTACATATTTTGACTATTTGCAAGGATGTCAAGCCCAGGAATGAAAATATCAGTAATAACGAATTACTCTTTGCTGATGACCAGGCCTTGATAGCAGATGCAGCCATGAAACTGCAACAGTATCTCACAGTCATGAATAAAGAATGTGAAACAAATAATTAATATGAGAATCAACACTTAAAAGACAGAAGTAATGTCAATAGGAAGAAATAAGCAGACCCTAGCAGTAGAGTGCAGTGGCATTAAACAGGCCACTGAGTTTAAGTATCTGGGAATAACATTCACCGAAGATGGTACATTAAATGAAGAAATTAACATCTGATGCAGCAAAGTAGACCAATTATTGGGATATCCCACCCCTTCCCCCCCACTCTCCACCTTCTTGTTTTAACAACACAAGACAGTCCTATTCAGCACAAAGAAATATCTCATGAAAAGCATATGCATGTGGCAGACGTGGTCACCCACAACAAACCAGAAAAGAAAATGAGTAACTGAGATGTAAGAAATGAGATATCTGAAAAGGACTGCAGTAGTGACGAGATGAGGTAAAGTCAACAGTGAGATCATAAGAGAAAAGATCGGCACAGAACTAATTCTAAGTTACATGCCAAGTCAGCAAATCAAATAGTTTGCCATCTCAAAGAGAATACCTTGTAATGCCATACCATGCAAGGCTTACAACAAAAGAGAAGATGGATGTAGACCAAAAACAAGATGGAAAGATAACATTGGAGAAACTCTACGTACAACAGCAGGATGTGTCGGTGGTTGAGGCCACCAGAAGAGCAAGAAGCAGAACCTTATATTCCCCTCGACACCCAAAGTGGTAAAAGATTAAGTAAAGAAGTAACATAAAGAAAGTAGAGAACCTTTTTCATATCTTTGGTGCATTGGGCATATAGGACTAGATCTAAATTTTATAGACCAATCAGATCTCGATGAGTGATGTGGTTAACATCATGGCGGCTGCCTTTACTTCCCATGACATTACCTGGGTTGACTTGGGAGCCACGACCATTTTGCGAGAAAAAAAAATCTGCCTCGATACAGGTTTTAATCCAAGACGTTAGGCCAGCAGGAGAGCATTTATTTAGTCAGTGTGCTACCATGGCTCCTAACTCTCTGGCCTCAACACTTATTACTTTAAAGTAGTATAGACTTAAACAGAAAGATTTCATATCAAATGTTTATATTGTATAGATTGTGTATGTGGCCCCTATGAAAGCTTTGGCAGCAGAAATGGTGCGCAACTTTGGTGGACGTCTAGCACCCCTTGGTATCACAGTGAAGGAGCTGACTGGAGACATGTCCCTCACAAAGCAAGAAATCCTCAAGACACAGGTCAGTCAGTGAGAAATGTCTCACACATCAGCAGTTAGTCTAAATATTTCATCATTTTTTTCTAGTTATAGTCTTACAGTTTTATGTTCCCTGAGTTGGTTCTGAGGCCTCTGTTTTGGAATGTTGAATTAATAATCGACATGATAGCACTCAGGACACTCCCATAAGGACTCCATCCCCATCTTCAGCAGCAAGCGAAAAGTTCAGATTTTGGTGGCACCAGTAACTGTCTGATTGTATATTAGTCTCACCTTTCCCTTGAAATCGGCCAGGTCCCCTGGTAACTCCTCGCAACACTATTCTCCTCAGACCACAATGATCTGTCTGTACCTCCTCACTGTTTACTAGCTCCCATAGGGCCCTCACAGCATCTAGCTTTTCATACATCAGTTCACCACCAAGTGGTGCAGAACTGGACGGTCTGTCTGCCTGCTCATTTCCCAACACACCTGCGTAACAAGGAGAAAATATCCAAAGGATGCTAACTACCCAGGACCTCTGAAGTGATGCTTGCCACTCTGCACGGAGCAGGCCTTCTCCACCTTTCTCAGCGTGCCCTGTGTGAGTCAGTTACAATCACGGCATGTGTGTGTGGCTGATTCTCAAGACAGCGGGAGGCAGCAGTGACTGCCTCCACCTTCATACTCAAACTAGACATTGTTTTGGAAAAAAAAAATTTAAGAATATACCCACTGCTCCCTAACAAGCCTGTTATATAAGATAGCTAATTCGGGTTTTGCACAAATCAGAGGCGTTGGGCTGAAAGGGGCAGATATAACAGCCTATCTGTAAACCACAACACAACATGCCAAATGCCCTTTTACGGGTGAATGCAGAAGAGATGAAGAAGTTTTATATCGTTTGATATGGTATAAATATCTTTTTTTGTATCTCTGTAAAGTAGAAGATAATTGTCATGTATTCGCTATTACTTCCTGGCTAGCACGCCTCAGTTTATGTTGAACACAGCAAGCACACAGTAGAAAAGGCCTAATGTGATCAAATGTAAGTTCCCAAACCAAAAAGACAGCCAAGAAAATGTATGGACAATACAGAATAAACCAAAGAAATGACCTTAACTGAAAATAAGCTCTGAAAATGCATTTACACAAGGGAAAGGCAACACATTAAGAGTCAGATTTCAAGAACATCATCACAAATATTGACAAGTCTTTATCAGCAGTCAGTTTAGTAGTATGTGTCTGACTTTTTACGTGATCTTTTAGTCCATTCTGTTTGTTTATTCTCATACAGATTTACAGATTATGTCTAAATGTGGTTATCATCATCAGCTTTATCATCTCATTTATCTTGCTGACTGGCATGGTCGATCATACTTTCGACATCTTGTTAAGCATCATGCATCAGTTCATATATTGACCTCATTCCATATCTAGACTAACGGCCGTCAAAAATCTTGTTCTACTTCATTTGTCCTGTTTTGTGTGTGGTTAGGTTTAGCATCTCAGTTTTACTGTATTGGGATTTTAAAAAATTAAGTCATGTTAAATGCAGTCAGTAGTATTTTTTGTGGTGGACAGTAAAGAAAAAAATCTAAAAATAAATTGAAATTGTTGATCGATTCCCTTATTGGTTGATTCCCTTAACAGATATTATCATACAGCAGTGAAATGATCAGGCCTTTGCTGTGTCGTGATGTTAAAAGATGTTGCCACTAGATTCCTGCTTTGCCTCATTTTCTTCCTCTATATACATTTTTGGAGCCTGTTTTGTTGGACTCCTAGGAAGTAAAGGTGGCCAGTGTGATGTTGACCACATCACCCACCGAGTGCTGATTGGTCTGTAAAATATAGGTCTAGCCCTATGTGCCCTAGGCCTGAAGGTGTGGAAAAGGGTCCTTTATTTTGTTAGGCTGTTTTGATCTCAGAACCTCATGTGATCTTAAAAAAAATTTCCTTCTTTATCTGAGAATTGAACTAGACCACTGTGTTATGTCAGTGCACTTTTTATTCTGCCTCCTAAATATACACATGTACACACATAAACACTTACAACAGATTATGATAATTAATGTATTCATGGCTTCTGATTTGTTTAAGATGCTTGTGACGACCCCTGAAAAGTGGGATGTTGTGACACGAAAGAGCACTGGAGATGTGGCTTTAGCTCAGCTTGTTCGGCTGTTGATCATTGATGAGGTCCACTTGTTGCATGATGATAGAGGGCCAGTTATTGAGACCTTGGTGGCCAGGACAAAAAGACAGGTATTTCTTTCTGTATCTTATTTGAAGCTAGTAATCTTCTGAGATGAAAATGTATACACCAGTCCAGTAACTGTTGTTTTCAACATCTAGCCTGATAAAACAAATCATAATGTACTAATTGGCATGCATAGATACAGAAGAAAAAAAAAGTAGAAACAGCATGACACAATAGACAACATAAAAATTTAAGGCCAAATGACCACACCAAGGACTGAACTTGTCACCTCCGGATGACAGCAGTACTTCACTGCAGAAACCAGTGTACTTCGACACTGTGAGTGCCTATGTGTGCATAGCAGTTTTGTACTTTATCATAGTTTGTTTATCATGCTATTTTAATATCCTTAAGGGTTTCCCAGCAGTTTATATTTGTCAGTTTTGTTCATCAACATCAAGTAACTTGCTAACTGTGGATGATCTTACTTCTCCACATCTGTGCTTACACTTCTCCATACCATGAAAAAAAAAAAGGCTGTCAAGAAGAACCTCTCTTTGTCTGCCTCTATATCTGTTTTCATAAATCTTTTCAGTTGTCACAACAAATTCCAGTTTTTCTCTTTTGATAGTGTGGCCAAAAAATGAAGTTTGTGATAAGTTGTTTTTGACTTTGGGTAGTAAAACTGCACTGTTTTTGGAGCCCCTCTTTTGTGGCATACAGCTTAGAGTTAAGTAGGTCATTGCTTCTGTCTTTAGTTGATCCTGCCAGGACCACATGTCCTCCGCTGACATAGCTCGGAGAATCATTAGAGCACACAAGCCATCCAGGCACTGCAGGCCATTAACATCATGTAATGGATCTTTCTTAGCTGCAGTGGGATATCTTGCAAACCAAGTATCTACAGTTTGTCTAGGCTCTACCTGCATAGTAGTGAAGCAGTGAATGAAGTGTATCCATAAGTTAATTCTGTTTGTTAAGTTTTACTGTGGCAAAGAATGGTGATGATTAAGTATATGATTGTCATATTTGGGATGTTCTCTACCTTTCCGATAGCCTGTATAGTTGTGTTTAAGAAAACAAAAACAACTAAAATAATCACAGACTTCCAGTCAAAATATAGGAAAGGCAGGTTTAATGTTTATAGTCTTGGCAAGGCTTTGCTTTACACAATAGTTGGCTGTATCATTTTCCTCCATATGTAGACTGAAGGGATATAGTTTTGTCGCCTAGCTGAGTTGAGTGCATTGCATGACACTGTGAGCTACAGATTTAATTTGGAATGCTTTTTGACTGTGCCCAACATGGTTTGTTTTCTGAACTGTAGATTTAGAAAATGATGAGTGGCCTATTACTACAAAACTGGTTGTGTCTTGTGTGATAGATCGCAGTTACAACCACTGATCTGCTGTAACTGCTGCTTCCATTGATGATGAACTGCAATTATAATGTCGGACTATTTGTGTCGGCACTTCTGACCACTGCCTGTCTCATGCATTTAATGCATGTGTGTGCTGTTTGATTTGCTTAGACTGCATTATGTGTCAATTCTTCCACAAGTGACAGTGATGGACATTCTGTGTGGTTTTTGTTGGCACAGGAATGGAGCAACCTTGAGGGCTACCTGTTTATGTTTATTCAACATATCAACATCATAGCACACGGGTGTAACCCATAAGTGCTCTGTTCTTCTTCTAACTCAAGCCTGAGTCTGAAGAATCTCAGCGCAGTGCACGAACTCTATTGCACCGGCAAGGAACCTAAAATACTTTAGAGAATCATGCTATGGGAGAGATTAGGGCATCAGTACCAATTCCCAGAGAAGACTGGGTACCCTGCAGCCAACCTCCATTGTGGAAATGACACAATCAGAGATTCAAGTGGAGAGTTTTCAGAGCATGATTAGAAAAGTGGGCCTGTCAGTACACTTCCCGCCTATTTGGGTGTTGCAGAAATAACAACATTGGCAAGCAGAATAATTATAGGGACAAATGAATTCAGTAGAGCGAAGCTGTAGTTTTAATACATTCACTTGACCGCCTTCTTCCTCTTCATATCTGAATGTGGGTCTATTTCAAGTGTGACCTTCTAGTGTGTTTGAAAACACTTTGACTGGTCCAGCAGACCGACAGTGGCTTACTTAGTGTTTGTAGAAAATGAAGAGATCTATTGACTGTTTTAGGTGGAAAGTTCTCAGAGCATGATTAGAATTGTGGGCCTGTCAGCAACACTGCCCAACTACCTGGATGTGGCAACCTTCCTCAATGTCAACCCATACACAGGGCTGTTTTTCTTCGACGGCAGGTTCAGACCTGTACCGCTGGAGCAGACCTTTATTGGTGAGTAGATGGGGTCCAGTTGACGTTTTTTAAGCTGGGGAAAGCATGTTATTTTTTTGTCCACAGATATCTTATTGTAAATCTAAGTAATAATAAGCCATGTCCCATGCCTAGTGATATATACAATTTTTCTTTATGTTCTGCCCTTTATCTGCCTGTTGAGCATAGGGCCTCAACCAAAACTCACCCAGTAATCTTGTTCTTTACCTTCATGTGCAGCTCAGGCCATGTCCTCCCCATCATATTCACCCCAGCTTCTAATCCTCTTATCCTTGTCTAATCTCTTCTAGTAGAAAAGCCCCTTGGCTGTTAATTCTTTCTTGTGCCCTTTATAGGAGGAGCAGCTGGCCAAATAGTTAGAATGCTGGACTTTCAAGCGAGACACCCGGGTTTGAAGCCTTGGTAAGGCTGGGGATTTTTTCTGTTGGGGGCAAAATAAAATCCTCACCTGCACAGTCGTGGCAACAGCACTAGCCATGCGGCCATAAATCCTCAGGCTCAAAGACCACCCCTGCCTACACTGCAGAAGTGGTATAAAAAAGATAGTAATTGGCAGATTGACCCCATATAGACTTGTTCATAGTTAGTTGGATTTTCTGGCTGTTTTTAAACATTTTTTAATTTTTATGCAGGATGAGGTTCCCTGTGTGGGTTCCGAGGCCCCATTGTTAGGGATACAAGAATAGACTAATTGCCTCCCTAAGAAGCATGTCGTGAGAATCAACTAATTAAGGGTTCAAAGTCAGAGTTAATCTGCCTGGGAGGCAAGGAACCAAAAGTCTGCATATAAATAAGCGAGATCTGTAAAATGAATGTGCACACAACACTCGGTTTCTGAATTTTTTTGGGCAGGCATGATTCAATATTTGATCCTCTTTACATTGTTGGAAAGAATTACTGTGTCCCTGGCATAGTGAAGTTTCGAGATAGGGTTGATGCCAGTTAGGAGTGGACCACAACTGTCACACCTCTGTAATATTTGTCATGATTTTTGCAAATGTATTGAATAGGCATGGTGGGGAAATGCATCCCTGCCTCACTTCCTCTTGCACCTCAAACCAGTTTGATGTTTCACCAGCCACTCTGATGGCTGCTTGTTGCTCGTGATATCATCGTCATCAGGTGCCTTGCCGACTGGCGTGGGCGATCATGTCTCTCCACAATCTCCTGCAGTATGTATCAGTTCATGTGCTGACATACCTCCATGCCATGCATCAAGACTGTCAAGAATCTTCTCTCGTTGTCTTCCTCTATCCCTCCTTCCCCAGATCTTTCCAGTGGTCACAGCATCTCGCAATATAAACTTTCAATTAGTTACATCAGATGTCCTGGAAACCCCATACTTCCACAATTTCTGATGTTGATAACTGTGATGTTCTGGAAAACTTGATAGAGACATGTTTGTGTTTTTCCAGGAATCAAGACAGTCAACAAGATGAACCAGCTGAGAGACTTTAATACAGTGTGTTATGACAAGGTTCTCAAGCAGGTCAGGGCAGGCCACCAGGTCAGTGGATTCCACTTTACAAATGACCTCTCAGAACTAAAAAAATCACCGTTCATTTACATTACTGCTTATACAGTCTAAGCGACTCCATTGTTCTTAATGAAGTTATGTGGTATATTGGACAGTCCATAAACATTTTTCTTCTTCTTCTTCACGTTCACTGGCTGTAAACTTCGGTGGAAAGTTCTGGTTGTTCGTCCACTTCTGGACTGCAGCCCTGTTTCAGAGCCTGAGTGTTGCGTGTGCATTCGTTTGACAGATCTGACTCATTTTTGTGCAGACTGTTGGTTCCCGGCCTCTCAGCCAGATGCACTCCGACTTCGAAGGAAGCTTCCACTTAGTCGACTCTTACAACATGCTTTTGGGTAGGCAGTGGGTCTATTCTTGTTTTCCCTATAATAGGGCCCTGGAACCAACATGGGGACATACACCTGTGTTAGTTGCTTTGTATTCCAGTCTAGAAATTAAAATAGAAAATTAAAGTATTAGTCGTTCATGATAAGATACATACATGTTTGATACAGAATGAATCATTATCCCCAGGTAGGGTCTTGGCCTCCATTTTGGAGAACAAAGAATAGACATACTGCCCCCCTCCCCCATTCCAAACGAGCATGTCATAGGAGGAGACTAATCAAGGGTGTTTCCTTCGAAGTCAGAGTGCATCTGCCTGAGAGGCGGGGAGCCAACAGTTTTTATACAAAAATAAACCAGATCTATAAAATGGATGTGCGTGAAGCTCAAGAGTCCAGCAGTAGATGAACAACCAGAACTTTCTGCCAGAGTTCACAGCCAGTGAACGCTACGAAGAAGAAGAATGAATCATTAGTCCCATATTGTTAGAACATTTGCTACTCAGTGGGTGATATGGCAGCTATCATGCTGGCCACCTTTATGTTCCAGAAAATGCGGTACCCAGTTTAGAAATAATCCCCCTCAAAGAGGATTCTAGCACAGAGCCGGGCCAGCACTCAGGTCACTGTACTACCACAACATCTGACATCTTGTTACAGGCTGAGGTGTATTGTCTAGCCCTGGGAAATAGTTATTACTGCACAGACTTCAACACTGTGGTCATAGGATTATGACCTAATAGTTTAGGATTAGATTTTTTTCTGATTAGTAAAGCTTTCATAGGGAGCCGTGGTGCTATAAGGACTGGAAACTGGCCTCTGGCCTGAAGGTCTTGGGCCTGAATCTGTATCAAGTCTGACTTTTACCCCCTTCAAAAATGACCAGGTCAACCGAGCCTAAAATGGGTACCATTCATAGAAGGTAAAGGTGTCAACATTAACCACCTAGTACCAATTGGTCTATATAAATACAAGTAGCATTATATGCCTGATGTACCGCTGACATTGTATGCCCAATATGCCTCTGGCATAAAAAATGGTCCTTTACTTTTTTATTTACTTTCACAGCCGAGTCGTATATATTAGATAGCTAGTCAGCTCATCTCATAATTACCTAGTATCTGTGAAGATCTGTACAAATATTTGTGTTTAAAAATTTTATGTTTTAAAGTGGCTACCAAAAAAAACCCCAGTTTACAGACAAAAACCTACTTAGACAAGTTAAGTTAATATCATTATAAACTAGGCTAAACTAAGTGCCCAGTTAATATCATTATAAACTAGGGTAAACTAACTGTCCTGATATCATTATGAACTAGGGTAATCTAACTGTCCAGTTGATATCGTTATAAACTAGGGTAAACTAACTGTCCAGTTGATATCATTATAAACCAGTATAAACTAAGTGTCCAGTTGATATTTTTATAAACCAGGGTAAACTAACTGTCCAGTTGATATCATAAATTTGGGTAAACAAACTGTCTAGTTGATATCCTTATAAACTAAGATAAGCTAACTATCTAGATGATATTATAAACTAAAATGAACTATCCAGCTGATATTATTATAAACTAAGGTGAACTAACTATGCAGTTTATATTATTATAAACTAGGGTAAACTAGCTATGTAGTTTATATCATTATAAACTAGGGTAAACTAACTGTCCAGTTGATATCATTATAAACCATGGTAAACTAACTGTCCAGTTGATATCATTATAAACTAGGGTAAACTAACTGTCCAGTTGATATCATTATAAACTAGGGTAAACTAACTGTCCAGTTGATATCATTATAAACTAGGGTAAACTAACTGTCCAGTTGATATCATTATAAACTAGGGTAAACTAGTTCCTAATACCCACAAAACAATAAAATGACAATCATATGCTAAAAAAATGCCAGCTATGGCTAGCTGAAACAAAACCAAAAACTTATGTTTTTTTTTTTTTACAATTAGCAGATGATGTTGGGACTGTTACATTCTTCTTCTTTTCTCTACTCCAGGAATGCCTTGCGGCATCAGAGCATGAAGAGAATTCTGGAACGGGCCCTTCTGTTTGCTTCGTATAAAGTACTTTTAAGTGTCTCTGATATTTCTGTGATCAGTATTCTGCGTGGTCGACCTCTGGATCTGTTACCGTTGTATCTGTATAAAATTGCTCCCTGTGGTGCCCTGTCTGATGCCATTCTTGTTACATACATGGCCGAACAATTTGATATGTTTTCTACCTATAAAGTTCAGTATTGGCTCTGTGCCGACTCTCCTGATATCATTCGTTCCTAAATTGATCTTTCCTTGTTACACCTTGCGTAGCACGTAAACATTTAATTTATTTCGTGACCATTTTCCTTCTATCATCTGAAAACAGTGTCCATGTTTGACACTGATAGCATAGCGTTGGTAAGAATATTACAGTGCTCTTTTAGTGTTCATATTTACATGCTTGCATTTCAAAATTGGTGCCATTTGGCCTAAAACTTGATTGGCTTTATTGCATCTTTGTTGGATTTCTTTATTAATTCTTCCGTCTTCTGAAACAATGCTCCCCAGATAATGTACAGGGCTTTGTCTGCTTTAACTGGTGTTCAACAATTTTGATATTGGTGGTTCTTCCTTTTCTGGAGAATGTCATAACTTCTGTTTTGTCTACGTTGATCTTCATAGTTGTTGCATTCTGAGTGGAGTCTATTACTATGTTCTTGTAGTTGTACTACTGTTGGTGCTCTGATTGCCTGCTCAATGGCAGAAATCAATTTATTTTGTAATTCTTCGATATTGTCCCCTTCGCTGATGTTAGCTGATTTGCAAAATTGGTCGACGTATGTGATGAACAGTAGTGGTGAATGTTACATTAATCTAGGAAAATTAAATAGATTCTTGATATAGACATGCTTGAAGTACATTTTCCCTTCTTATTTTCAGGTGATGGTCTTTGTGCATGCCAGAAATGAGACTGTGAGAACAGCTTTCAACTTGATCGAACAGGCAAAGAATAAAGGAGATATGTCTCATTTTGTTGTGGAGCAGAGTAGGGGATTTGGAGATGCCCAGAGAGCTGTACGTTTATAAATATCTATATCTAGTGTTTTTTGTGTCCAGAAAGAAGAAATTGGATGATAGTATTAAAATTAGTCATACGATTTATAAAGAACAATTGATGAAATGGTCTGTCCATTTGAATTGCCAGGTACCAGCTAGAAGAAAGAACTGTATTGAAGAAATTGTAATGAGCAAAGAGGGAGACTGCACAGATAAAGAAACTACATAAAGAACAACCTTAGAGAAAAGAAGACCAACTGACACAGATCAGACAGAAAATCTTTACTAGTGCTAGATCTTCTGATCTTTCCTTAGCACTTGGCTGAGGTAACTGGAGTAAGGGAAGTCAAAGTAAAAGTCCGTTTACATGCCATTGGTGCATTGGACATATGATGCTAGACTTGAGTGAGTGAGTGAGATTAAACCCCACCAGGACATCACACAAGCAATACCCGATGACACAAAGTGCCACTGTGTGAATGAAGATCACATGGAGAGAGGTCCCAGAGATCCCTTTCATCCCATAGGTGGGGTTATATTAGTGCTTCTGGCAACTGCCAGGGTGGGACTTTAAAGCAACAAAAAAATTGCATCTGACATTGTGACGCAGTAGTGCATAATGTTAGACTCATTTAAATTTTTTTTTTTTAAAATTATATAATTAGACCAATTAGCCCTTGATGGGTGATGTGGTCAACATCACACCGACCACCTTTACTTCCCAAGTCTTTACCTGGTACCCATTTAAGGCTGGGTCAAACTCAGAGCCAAAAACATGTTTGAAATCAAATTTGGCTCCATGTGTATTTGAACCCATGACGTTTGGATCTGTGGGCGAGGGAGTAAGGGAAGTAGTAGTCTTATTCTCCCTGTGTCTTTTTAGCTGTCTTCAATTATCATGACAGTGAATCACCCTTATTGGTTATCGAGTCCTTAAATCAAGACTGTCTTGCATCCTTCTTCTGAGTCATCCTCTGGCTCTTTTCTAATGAATCTTGCCACTTTCTTCTGTTGACAGTGTTGAATGATGATTTATTTGTAATATTTGTGATAAATATTCTGTTTGACTTTCCCTGTGATAGAATATCTGCATTGCAGTTGTCTCGAGGCACAGCATCTGCCTCAAGTGCTAGAGGTCTTAGTGAAGACTGGGATTTTTTTCACCTGGACTTCTAGTACTTCTGGTCTCTGGGTAGTAAGATCAGACGCCCGTGTGTATTGTCATGCTTGTAAAAAATCACCTGGCAGTTGGAAATTGAAAAAGAGTAGCCTAACAACATGGTCTGAGCAAAATTTGGAGTTAAAAATCTACCCAAAGTATTTCAGTATCCTCGCCAGTGCTACTGTGTACTGCACTGAGATTCTTCAGACTCAGGCTTGAGTTAAAAGTAGAATGGAGCACATGGGTTACTATCCTTGTGTCATGATGTTGATCCGTTGTATAAACCATAAACCATTTCCATTGATAGTACACAACATTTTAATAGTGATTTGATTGACTTTCAACCCCACCAGGGCATAACACTGAGCGATAAACACCCTGTGACATAAAGTGCCACCATTTGGATGAGGATCACCCAGGGATAAGTTTCAGATACCCCATTCAACCGTTAGGTTATGTTAGGGCACCCCAACCACATCAAGGATGGGATTTTGAAACCACAAAAAAAAAATTGCATTCCATATTGGGATATCGTGTAAAGAAAAATGATGATTTTTTTAATATAATCAAATTTTATATGATTTTACATCATCTGTATTGATTCAGATGTCAAAAAGTCGAAACAAACAAATGCGAGAGATGTTTCCTGATGGCTTTGGGATCCACCATGCTGGAATGCTGAGACAGGATCGCAACTTAGTGGAGAAGTATTTCCTGGAAGGTTATATCAAAGTTCTTGTATGTACTGCCACCTTGGCCTGGGGTGTCAATCTGCCAGCTCATGCAGTCATAATTAAGGTAAGACCACACAGATTTGATAGAGATGAAGGCAAGCAGTGCTCTGTTGACTGTTCTGAGTGTTACTTGGGTTATCCTGGGCATGTTATCATGAACATTATCATTATCAGGTCCTTTGCAGTACTTTTGCTGTCATTGTGCTATGCCAGAAAGTCATTGGGTCCTTGTCAAATTGTCCACCTCATGAACTTTGATGCCCAGGGTGTCCTTGATATCCTGTGTCCACCCCCTTGGCTAATCATCCTCTGTATCTAGTTTCAGGAACCATACCCACCCTGCCTTATGTTTTTTTCCCCCTAAACTGTTATGGTATTTAACATAGTCAAAGTATATCAGTTTAAGGCTGAAGAAATGATAGAAATGTCTGGGCAAACCCTAGTAACAACAATTATAAAAGACAAAGAAGATGGTACTGTTTTAGACACATCCTGAGAAGAAACGAGCAGAGAATCACCCAGCAGGCAGTGAAATGGGAAATAAACTGATTGAGGAAATGAGGACATCCACAAGACACCCTAAAACACACAATGAGAGAAGCTGGGCTGAATTCCATCCATGATATCAGAAGGGTCACACAGGATAGAGCAGAATGGAAGGGAAATTGCTGAGGAAAATATTGAACATATAATGGGGTGAATTCAAGAGGGGTGACGAATTAAGAGAAGTGTCTAGCCAACCACTGCTAACAACAGTTATAACACAAAAAAAGTGGTGCTATTCCAACCACTGCTAACAACAGTTATAACTCACAAAAAGTGGTGCTTTTTATGCATATCCTGAAAATAAATTTGCAGAGAAACACCAAGCAGGCACTACAATGAAAAATGAAGGGATCGAGAAAGGGGGGCTGTGAAATTAGATACCTGAGAATGGCTGCGAACAAAGCAGAAGAGATTGTTTCAGAAACTTTCAAGTTTTGAACTCATTTTACAACAAAACCCATCATTAAATTCATTGACAAAGAAAGAATGAAATAGTTTAGCCACCTGGTGAGAATGAATCCAACAATGCTGGCATCAAGAGCATACAGTGTAAAAATGGCAACATCAGTAAATATTGGCAAATGCAGAAGAAGACAGAAAAGAACAACGGTTTGCAGCAGTAGGGACATTTATTTGTAAAGAACTGTTCATATTATAATATTTTATATTTTTAAATATTTTTTTTCAGGGCACCCAAATTTATGATGCAAAAAGAGGTGCCTTTGTCGACTTGGGCATTTTAGATGTGATGCAAATCTTTGGTCGTGCAGGCAGACCTCAGTTCGACAAGTTTGGCCATGGAACAATTATTACCACCCATGACAAACTGAGCCACTATTTGAGTCTCATGACCCGACAAAATCCCATTGAAAGTCAGTTCATCAACAGTCTAACTGACAACCTGAATGCAGAGGTTGGTGTCATATCTTTTGCCTCCAACCCTTTGCTGTCATGAAGTACTTCAGTTTTTATTTCTCTTATTATGTGATCAAAGAATGCAGACCGTCTCCTTCTGATGTGGGCATTGGTTTCAGCCAGTGTTTAAAAAAAAAATAATCCACTCCCCCTTTTTTGACTGCTAACATCAGGCTTGGAAAAAAACATTTGGAGATAGATTTGTGCAGAATACAGGCTGATTTTCACAATCTAAAAAAAAATCTTATCTTTTGCATGGATAGTTTCCTGTGACCTTTTATCCCTATGACCTGAGAAGCAGCTAAACCATCACTTCTGGTTGTGTTGAGTTCCCCATAAATGTCACTTTTCAGTCTTATCTATTGTGACCTGTTTACGAGAAGCATAATTAATGCTAGCTGTTGTCACACATGCGCAACATGCAGGAAGTCAGAATATGAAGACATTAACTAACATTAGCATTTAGAAGGGTTTTCTTTTGAGCCAAATAGCTTTTTTAAAGCCCTGTGGTGTCAAATTTTCCTGTAGGCCTCAGTGTTGCAGGTCACAGGGTCATGGCATGAGTCAGCCATATTGTAAACTGGAGGGAAGCTATCTCCGGCATACTTGGCAAAGTATCTAGGTGGTAATGATTAACCTTCAGTACACAAGGTGCAACATAATGACATAACACACTGTTCACCAGTAGTACATTTATTTTGACAGAACTTTTGTGCCTAGCAGCACGCACACAAATGGATGTAATTATGTAGATCACAAGATACAGTCTACCCCCTGCGTATGGCATTCAAGAGCTTGCTTAACACAATCTGCTCCTCATTCATATAAGGCGCTCGGGAACGCAGCCTAATCTTGCTGCCGTTTCTGGATCCTTGAGCTGTCACCGCCTCTGTGCCTACGACAGCTGGCTAGACACTCATCTCGTGCTAGCAGCAGTACTGTACTGTCTTCAATGAACCTACTCAGTATTGCTGCAAATAATACAATAAATTTAACAGGCTCATAATATTGACTGACTAGAGACGTGGATCAATCCTTGCATCTCCATGACATATAGTCGCGAGTCAGAATAACGAATTGACTAGAGACTCCATTCCTGAGTCTCCACAACCTGCACAGTGGTGAGTCAGAGAGCTAACAAGGAATTTCACTCAGTGAACTGACCAGAGAATCCTGTCACTTTCCTGTGTGGGTTCCGGGGCCCTATTATAGGGAAAACAAGAATAGACCGCCACTGCCTACCCAAAAGCATGTCCTAAGAGTTGACTAATTGGGAGCTTCCTTCGAAGTCTGAGTGCATCTGCTTGAGAGGCAAGGAACCAGCAGTCTGCATACAAATGACTTAGATCTGTAAAACAGATGCACAGGCAACACTCAGGTTCTGGAACAGGACCGCAGTCCAGAAGTGGATGAACAACCAGAACTTTTATAGGATGAGCTACACCTACCTCTTTGTTCGTATGCGCAAGAACCCACTGGTCTATGGCATCTCAATGAGTTTCAGAGAGGTAAGGTTTGGTTAATGTAATTAAAAAGGGCGTTCACTGAGTTATTTACATTTCATTTAGCCTTGGAAAGGTACTGTTTTATTTATTGTCATTGTTAAGCAGTTTTTGACATTTCATTGAAACCTTATAAGGTAATGTTTAGCTTGTTTCCAATGCAGGGCAGGCCCCTGAGTGTTTGACGTTTCATTGAAACCTGAAAAGGTACTATTTCATTTGCTGTCATTGCAAGACAGACCCAGTGAGTTTTTGCTGTTTCATTGATGTGGTGAAAAGCAAAGTAAAACGAATCTATAATAGATAGACCGCACCTGCCGTATCAAGATAAATTTGGCTTGTAAAATTGGTTATAAATCTAGGGGAAGGCCCCGTGCATTTGAGACTGGGACGTGATCATGCAACAGGAGTCAGAAAGGTAAGACAAGCTTTGTATAGGTGTATCACAGAACGGTATAGTAATTCTGTTACACACACTCCTGCCAGTTGAATTAAAAGCCCCTAGAAGATAAGAAGTACAAGGATGAGAAAGGCATCTTCCAGACACCTTTGCTTCAGACCCATGCTCACCACAGTATAAGAGACTAACGAGGTGGGTAAAGGTTATATAACATATACTGTAATGGGAATTCTGGAACAAATGATTGGCAACCACAAAACCAAATACCTTCCTCAGGAAGGAGTTAGATGTGTTGCTCAGGTGGATTCAGGATCATGTGGCGACACAGTCACCTAGTAAAACTTGTGGACTTCAGGCTTCGTTAATCCATTCTTTTGTCAGGACGTTCCTCTAAAAGGAACATAATCCAGGGCAATGGTGCAGGAATCAGTGTCTTTAGGCAAATGCCATTATAAATCCACAGGATTTGGTTTAAATAAAAAGCAATTGTAATTCTAGTCATTGATGCACTTTATCTTAAGTTGTAAAGAAAACAGGCTATCCAATGACTTAATATTTATTTATCCACTTGTTTGGTAGTTATGTGTGGTATAGATGTAGTCAGTTCACAGTAGTAGATGGTTGGTACAGCTGGACTGGAGGAAAACGAGAAAAAGAAAAGCCTCTTTTGAGAGTGTACCACCTAAATCCTACGACTATTAACAGTTATCAAACTTCCATGACCTCTGCTTCTGACAACTTTCTTCATATGAGTTGCCTGTTTTGTAAATTTACTTATATACCCAGGCCCCCAATATTGCTATTAACAATCATGTGACTGTAGGCTGACTATTCACTACTCTAGTCTATGACATTTCCTATATGCCTTATAGACAGACCTATTGCCTCCAGGCCTGCTCCTGTGATACCATGTGGGTCTATAATTTTCTAAGTCAGCACATGCCGCTGAGCATCAGTATAATTCCTCCCAGAGATATCCCATGTTTCCCCAAGTACCTTGGGTACCTCAGCAGTATCAGATATCTTATGTTGTAACAAAATTATTCACAGAAAATAATTTCCTACAGATGAGAAGGATCCAATTATCGATAATGCTGTTGTTGGGGAAAATAAACACATTAGATGGCCGATTAAAATACACGAGAATATCACCACAGATAAATGCACCAAATGCATTCGACGATAACATACAAGTCCACTCATTTCTTACCTCTTTTTCCAAATAAGAAAACACGTTAAATTCCACAAGATTTTGTCTAATGGAACTGGCTGAAAATCTCTGAAAATATTTACAAAGAAAGAAAATGCCGGAAGTAGATTGACTATTGAGATACTCATGGAAGTTCCACCCCCTTCTTATGACGTTAGATGCTAAATGTAGCTTGCCTGCAGATACCCATTCCAATACTATAATATTCGTAAATGTAACTATACAGTGCATGCCTTTGAGTATGCTGTAATCAGGAATTTCCCCTCTGCACTAACACTATCAAGCCCTCATTTGGACACCACAGGGGAAAAGATCTCGTTGAAGACCAAGGGAAACTCTACGTAGAACTATCATCAGGGAAGGCTCGCTCATGGGCCACTCAAACATCCAAGACCTACAACAAATTGCAACGAACCGCCATGCATGGAGAGTCATGACCTCTGCCCTATGTGCCGCACTCGACACAAGAGGAAAGACTAACTAACTAACTAACTAACTAACTAACACCTATACAAGTATTAGACCTGCTGTCCCATAATTATGACTGTGTTAATACGCCATTCCATAGATGCTAGTCCGATAGAATTGCATTCTGGCATTGTGTATTTACAAATGGGCCGCTGATGCCGTCATTACAGTGGCTTGAATGCAACGTAATTCAGTAGAACCAATCTATTTTGTTAGTGTGAGGTAGGCAATCCGTGGTGCACCACTGCCATTTTGTGACAACTGAAACTTAGAAACGTAATGTTTTGTTGGTTTTCATAGCAGGGCAGACCCACTTGATTTTTGGCATTTCATTTAATCTCAGATAGGTGCAGTTTGTTATCATTGTAAGGGAAGCCCATGGTGTTATTGACATTTCATTGTACATCAGTGAGGTACTTGTGTAAAGAATAGATCCACTGACCAAGTATTATCTTAAAGGTGAATAATTACGGATTTGAGCTGCAATCAATTCTGTTGGGCCAAAAAGGCACAGATATCGCAGCCTAGCTGCCACAACAGTGAGCTGTCTGCCCTTTTAAGGGTGAACACAGAAGAAGAAGAAGTATTGCTTCTATTTTCCTGCTAACATCAGCACAAAATGCTGGCCACCTTTACTTTCCACGACATTACCTGGTACTCATTTTGAGCTGGATCAACCTAGGAGCCAAGGTTGGTTAAAAAAAAAAATTGCCTCAGTGCAGATTTCCACCCCTAGACCTTCAGGCTGGCCACTGTGCTACTACAGGTGCCTCCCATATACCCAGTATAACATCCCAAAGGATGTGGCATCGGTCCGTAACCCCAGCTCAGCTTAACCCAATGTCTCTTAAACCTAGTACTCCATTAACTAGCATCTTTTTCATCTTCTTCCTCTTCTTCACATTCAGCGGCTGTAAACTCCAACAGAAAGTTCCAGTTGTTTGTTTCTCCATTCCTTGACTTTGTTTTGATCCAGAGCTTAATGCAAATGTGTTTTGCAGATCTAGCTTATTTGTGCGCAGACTATTGGTTCCTTGCCTCTAACTGTGAAGGAAACACCCCTAATTAGTCGCTTCTTGCAATATACTGGTTAAGGAGGCAGTGGGTGTATTCCTCATTCTCCCGAATGAAGCCCCGCTACCCACACTGGGAGCCGACATCTTCAGAGAGTGTAGATCCTTTGTGATGTGTGATCCTTCTCCGTAGTTCTTGCTAGTGCTTGCCTGTTACTCTACCAGACTGGCCAGTATCTTTATTGAGCTTGTTTTAACCTGTTACAGGACGATCCTTATCTAGAAAACCATAGAAGGGATCTTGTCATCAATGCAGCTCGCCATCTGGACAAAGCCAAGATGATACGCTTTGAAGAACACACAGGGTACATGTTTTCTACAGATATGGGATGTATTGCCAGCAATTTCTATATCAAATATGACACAGTGGAGGTAGGTTGCTGTTTTATTTTTGTTCATGAGGATGACAATGAATTTTTTTTTGGGCGGAGGGGGGGAAGGGAAAGGTGGCGAAGAAGTTGGAGGGGGGGGGGGGGGGGGGGGGGGGGGGGGGGGGGGGGGGGGGGGGGGGGGGGGGGGGGGGATGGGGGGGGATGTGGGGGGGGGGGAGGCGGGGGTGGGGAGATGAATGGGGAAAGATGTTATAAGGAAGAGCTGAAGAGGGAAGTGGAGGTAGAAAGAGATTTTGCGACATATGTTAATTTCTTATTATTAATAAAGAAAAATAGCTTCTGATGTATGCTATGTCATATATTTAATAATATTTTTATTGTTTTATAAACCATTTAATAATATTCTCATCGTGAGTGTATATATATGTGTGTGTGTGTGTGTGTGTGTATATATATATATATATGTACACTATTTTAATTAAATATATTTTCTTGCATTTACAAACACAATAAATAATAACTATACATACCTGACTTTTAAACAACCCTGCAAGATGGTTTAAAGAGAAGAGGAAAAAATAATAATTTGGAAGCTCTTAAAATGAGTAATCGCAGGATGTAAAGAATAGACAAGCTTATGTCCCCGTGTGGATTCCCAGGTTCCGTTTTAAGTGAAAGGAGGAATAGACCCACTGGCCCTTTCCTAACAAGCAGGCATGTCTTCAAAAAATGACTAATTAGGAGTTCACTGAAATTGGATGTGTTGTGCCGAAACAGCAGATATCGTAGTGCCGAAACAACAGATATCGTAGTGTTGAAACAACAGATGTGGCGCGGTGATTTCGGTCACAGGCATGAGGCAAAGTTAAGTCTGATGTGAGGTGTATAAGGAGATACTCCGTACCCCACTCGGGCGCCAGTCCTTCACTGTTCTGGTTTTACGGAACCTCATGCAAGACTCCTGCTGCACGTCCCCGTCGTGCGCCATGGATAATGTCTCAAATGAGCACTAACAGAGTTGGCAGGGGATCTCGGAGCTGGCGGCCCCTAGAGGTGTAGTGTCCTTTCTGGCTCTCACCAGCCCGCCCCCAAACGCATGGGTGAAAAGTCTAACAAAACTCAAAATTGCTTGCTAAATGTACCATCAAATGACAACTCTTGTTTAAAATTCGGGAGGGAATTCAAAACTGTGCTGCTGAGACTCAACCCTGACCGAGAGATTTACCCGCAGCCAAGACGAGTAACATCTCTTGTGGGCGACTTCTCGCAGCAAGATCCTACCTACGTACATCCTCAATCCTCAGTGTCGTCGTCACCGCGCTGAGGTACACCACGGCAGCAACTTTTCATATGCTGACTTGGAAATAATGTCCGACAAAGTTATACCCCACAGCACACATGCAAGCTCAGAGTCCGACGATCATAATTCGTACCGATTAGGAAAAAGTCTGAATGTCCGTATCCACTGGTCCAACTCGCCCGAGTGTTGGGACCAAACAGGTGAAGCCACGCCTGAAGCATTTTGCTTCCCCATTTCTGTCGTGCTAACGGCACAGCTGAAACAACGTTAAAGCTGTCTAACGTAAGATGAAAAAGAATGTACCTATTTGTGTGGCCACAAACGTCCTAGACCTGCGGGCTGCTCCCCGCTGATCTCCGGAGAGCGCAGCCTTGTAGCGCGGGAAGCTCAATACACGGTTGTGAGGTTAGGCAGTCATGGGCAGGACGTGACGATTCCTTGGGTGAGCCCAGAACCGGAGCATCATGTGTCGGCTCTGCATTTATGGAAGCCTCCTTGGATGGCGGGGAATGCCCATGATCTGCCCCTGCCTTCCCCTGAGGGCTGAAAACTCTACATAGAGCTGCCTTAAGGACGACATGCCGGGGGACACCTGTTAAAAGTCAAAGAGGACACCACACAAATAAGGCAACATCTCGACCCACACAAAACAATGGCCACAGTCAACCTAGAAATAGGCTTGACGTCTTCCTCCGAAGTCGGAGTACATCTGCCGGAGAGGCGGGGAACGAGTACTGCAAACAAATAAGCCAGTAAAACGGATGTACACGCAAAACTCAGGTCAAGGTAAAAGCCAAAAGTCCATTTTGGACGAACAACCGTGACTAACCGCCGGAATTAACAGCCGGTGAACGAGAAGAAGAAGAAGAAGAAGAAACAACAGATATCATAATGCTGAAACAACAGATATCTTAGTGCCAAAACAACAAATATCATAATACTGAAACAACAGATATCTTAGTGCCGAAACAACAGTTATCATAGTGCTGAAACAACAGATATTGTAATGCCGAAACAACATATATCAAATAACTGATATATTACCAAAACAAAAAAAATATCATAATGTTAAAAAACAGATATCCTAGTGCTAACACAACAGATATCCTAGTGCCGAAACAACAGGTAACATAGTGCCGTAACAAAAGATATTATAATGCCAAAACAACAGATATCGTAGTGCAGCAACAAAAGATATCCTAGTGTCAAAACAACAGATATCCTAGTGGCGAAACAACAAGATATCATATTGCCAAAACATAAGATATCGTAGTGCAGCAACAAAAGATATCCTTGTGCCAAAACAATAGATATCCTACTGCTGAAACAACAAGATATCGTAGTCTTGAGGTAAACCCCAACACAGTATGCCAACTACTCTTTAGCGGCAAAAGCAGAAGAGGAATAAACTGGACGAGAGATCAAATGAAAACAAGCTGAAAACAGAGAAATTAGACAATTAAACGGAGCAGCTGACTGAATGGTTGAAGGATGCTGGGTTCTCATGCAGGAGAAACTAGATTTGAATCCTTGGTAAGGTTAAGGATTGTTTTTCTGTCAGTGGTAAACAAATTAAGCCCTAACCTGCACAGTTACTGGTACTAGCCATGAGGCCATAAATTCTCATGGCCAACGCCCAACCACCCTACACCACAAAAGTGTTAAATACAAGCAGTAATGGCAGTTTTAATGGCAGACAATTATCTGTAGTGACTTGTTTATGAGACGCATAATTAATTCTGTTGGCTGTTTCCACACATGCACAAACATTTAGGAGGTAAGATATGAATAGATTAACTAGATTTTCATCATCTCTTATGAATAATACTCAGCATTAGGTGGCGAGACAAGGCTACAGACAATGAGTAGTGGAAAGAGCAGGTATTATAGCAGTTTTTTCCATGCTCAGTCCTCGCAGGATCAGAAGCCTATGACACACTCAAAGGGTTGTAGAATTCCTAAGAACAGCCTCTATGCTGAATTACAAATGAGTAGAAGATATTGGTATTAACCTGTGTTACGATTTATAGATAACAGCAGCTGGCATTTGAATGATTCAGGTATTGAGATGGATGCATCATAAGAGGATGCACTTAAAGTGTTGCATGGAGTGCATAAATTCAGAAAGGGAATAAGGGTGAAAGATAATAATAATTGAGAAGAAACACATTAAAGTGTGATGGCAGCTAGTTTAAAAGCACAATTTTTGTTTTCACCTTAAGTAAATATTTTTTTTAATTGACGTCAATTGTTTACCTTTAAGGTCATCAATGAAATGCAAAAAGCAGCCATGACAGAAAGTGACATACTTAATTTGGTCTCTAATGCACAAGAGTTTCAGCAGATCAAGGTTTGTATTTACAGTACCATAATGTAACTAAAGTTTTAGTTTGGCACTTTTGTTATGAGGCCAGGATCACAGCACCTGATCTCACTTTAGTGTCTATATTTTGTCAGTTGTTAAAGAGATGTAGTTCTTTTAATATCTTATAGTTCCTAGTTAAGCAAACAATTTAGCCATCTTCTGTCAGATTTTCAAATCCTCTACTGAAAAACCTTCCCATCCTGTACCATCTTTTATAGTTCCTTTCATTTGTTTTATTGTATAAGCAACTAAGTTAAAGTTAGCTGCATATCCTTTACAGGACATTGCAGAACCAACCCCAGCATTTTTTGGCTATTGTGGTTTTTTTTTAGGCAAGTTTACGTTAAGTAGAGTTTGCCATTGCTTTCTGGACAGTCGGAATTTCGATACCACTGTTGACTGTTGAAACCAGCGCAAGGCTTTCAGCTGGGATTAAACCCGGCACCCTGGCATTACAAAGTGTGTTCATGGCACCTAAGCCACTGAGATAGACATAAGCAACTAAACATAACACAAATATAAAATGACAGTGATGGTTGGAGAGCCATGATTGTTAGTATCTGCTCAAAACCAGACACCTCAAGAAAAAAAAGACATTTTTCTCTCCCAGGTATTTCCAGAAGGAGTACTGACTAGTTACTGCATGCCTTAAAGAAGGAAGCTTTCTCACCCCGCATTTGATTATGGGACGTCTTCTCCTTCTTCACGTTCACCAGCTGTAAACTCTGACGGAAAGTTCTGGTTTTTCATACACTTTTGGACTGCAGTCCTGTTCAGAACCTGGGTGTTGCGTGTGCATCTGTTTTACAGATCTGACTCATTTGTGTGTAGACTGATAGTTTCTTGCCTCTCAGGCAGATGCACTCCGACTTTGAAGAAAGCTCCCAAGTAAGTAGTCAACTATTACGACATGCTTTTGGGTAGGCAGTGGGTCTATTCTTGATTTCCCTATAATAGGGCCCCCGGAACCCACACATAGAATTATGTGAAGTGATTGATAAGTATATAAAGATATGATTAGTATAAAATGTGAAATGTTTGGTTTGTAGGTTTTTAGATCTGTCGCATTTGGTAGAGTTTCTCACTGGGCGGCAGGTTACCTGCCTGCCAAGAGCGTCAGATGAAACAAGAACTCTGTATTTTTAATGGTTACCTTTAAGGGTCTCTGAAACACCTGCGCTTACAAACTAAACAGAATCTGCAACCTTCAGAGCCAGAAGCAAATGGCTTAGCAGCTGTGCTACATATACCATCTGTACTTGTCAAATTATAATGTATTCTTTGATATAGCAAATTTAAGCTGCCTTTTACACATATATTTCCTGGACATTTTCCTTTGATGATGACAGTTCAATGTTTGAATGAAAAGGGTATCATAACTTTAAAAAACCCTTTTCCTCGCCATAAGGTGTATTAGGCATATAGTGCCACACCTCTGATTTATAGACTAAACAGCACTCGATGGCTGATGTGGTCAGCATCACATCGGCCACCTTCACTTCCCAGGACTTTATCTGGTACCCATTTTAGCTGGGTCAGCCTGGGAGCCAATGTAATTTTTTTTTGGGTATCCAGCTTTTGTGGCTATAGTGTTTATGTAAATATGATTTGCAGGTGCGAGAAGATGAGATGGAAGAACTGGATCGCTTGACGTCTGACGGCTGTGAAGTGGTGGTTGCTGGAGGGAAGGAGAACACACATGGAAAAGTGAACATCTTGCTTCAGGCTTATGTCTCCCGCATCTCTGTGGACTCGTTCTCTCTGGTGTCAGACATGGCTTATGTTGCTCAGGTGGGTTGTGACGATCGTGTTTGTCTGTCATGACAGTTGCATTGTCAAGCTTTTGAATGTGTCTGTAGAGTGGTGGTTGCTAAAAACAGGAAACACATGGCAAAGTTATATTTATTCTTTTTACATTCAACTTTAAAAGGCAATTAGTATATTGCATTGTGGTTTACAGCTAGGCTTCAGTATTTGTACCTTCTGGCCCAAGATGTCTGATTTCACCCATTTTTTTTAACTCTTTCAGGCTCAGGATTTTTGACAGACTTAGTGTTACAAAGGTAAAAAGTTAAATTTATTTCCAGGAATTATGTAAACATCTGTATTGGTGCCATGTGTAGAGTGTACTAGCTGTTTACTGTTTTGTTCTAATTCTCAGAATGCAACAAGAATCATGAGAGCTTTGTTTGAGATGGCACTTCGAAATGGTAACCCTCTCCTTGCTGCAAGGCTTCTAGAAATGTGTAAAATGGTGGACAAGCGCCTTTGGACCTTTGAGAATCCAATGAGACAATTCAGTATCTTGCCCCATGAGATCTTGACCAAGCTTGAAGCTAAGAGGCTGCTGCCAGAAAAGCTGAGAGAAATGGACTCTAAGGAGATTGGTAAGTGAAGATGTTCATGTGAAGAAAATAAAATTGTGTATATTTTGTTCCAAGTGAATAATAAGATCGCATACACCTTGTTGAGGAGTGGCTGGCCAGGTGGCTAGAGGGCTATAGACTCTCATGTGGGAGACCTGGGTTCAAATTCTCAACAAGGGGATAGAAGTGTGCATACAGCACTAGCTATTAGGTCCTAAATCCTCAAGAACTCTCCCCACCTTTAAACAACCTGCCAAATCCCTCCTCTTCTACTCAGCCCTAAAAAGGGGTAATATACACAGTAACAACTGTTAAACAGACAATTTAATACACAATTTGTTTGTTGATCTCAGATAAATAAACATACTTTTTGAAAAAAATCTAAAAATTGTTAATCATTAATCCCATTGAGTTTGGCTGGACCCCAAATATGTGGGTCTGGTACCATATACCCGATTGACCAGTGGTATCCAGAAGGGTTCTTTATTTTTGTCTTTTGAAGATTGAACACGAATGACTGTCTTTGCAGGCAAACACAAAACCAAAACAATCCAGTTCAGTAGCACATCTGATCAACTACATATTCTGCTGAATGTTTCAGGCCTGAAACAAGTCAGGAAATTTAAATATCTTAGAAATGTGATCACTGAAGTTTTTAGAATTGACAAACAGAAATAGAAATTAGATGTCAGAAAGCAAGTACTCTTGTATACCAGTTTTCACCATTATTAAGAAATCCGAACATAACTATGAGAGGGGGGGGGGATATTATGAGCAGCATATTCATACCAACTTTGAGCTACCATTGTGTTGCGAGTGGATAAATGCTTTTGTGATGAGTAGGAATTTTCCTCTCAACACTTCACCGCCACCAGAAAAACTGGACTAATATCTGAACTATGTTGATCTCAGAAAAAGTCCTGGATATCCAAGAAAACAGCCATATTCGGCTCGTGTAAATTAACCGTAGCTGCAATTGATACCCACAGGAGAAGGAAAGGGGTTTTAGATGTCTAGATTATTATAATTAATGAAATATTAGACAGGGCAGGTGACCCCTCCCGTCTACCTCATCCTGGTAAAGAATTATTAATGAGCCCCCACCAAATGCAATTCTATCTAACAGTTTAGTTAAACATGTAAGAACAAACATTTGGAATTTGACAAACGATGCCGTATAAAACCATATATTTGATATATTACACTAGCAATCATTTAGATAACATTTGTCATTTATAATATATTTGATTAAACAGTGATGGTATGGTGGTAATGAGATGCTTCAGCTAGAGAACTGAGCACCTGGGATTTGAGTGATGTTATAATGATGCTAATAAGTTTACGAACAAAATATGAACGTAACTTAGTGGTAATACATGATAAAACCTCTGACAGCCGTGAGGCACTGTCAAGCTTTCCCCCTTTTCCAGTTTCTACCCAGCTTGTTCCACCTCCTACCCAGCTTGTTCCACCTCCTACCCAGCTTGTTCCCAGCTTGCCGATCTCCCACACAATGTAGGTTTGTGCACATGGACTCTTGGTTTCTGCTATCAGAACTGACTGGTCTTTACCCCAATGGGACTGTAATAATTGAAACACATATGTGTAGTATCTGTACTTATACTAAGCATGCATATACTAATACTATATATATATATATATATATATATATATATATATATATATATATATATATATATATATATATATATATATATATATATATATATATATATATACATATATACATATATACATATATATATATATATATATATATATATATATATATATATATATATATATATATATATATATATATATATATATATATATATATATATATATATATATATATATATATAATGGCATCCGTCAGTCCCGGGGGACTATGGAGATGTGCCGCTGGCTTTGGGAACAGCATCTGCTGTGACTGTAAAGTCTGATGCGGGAATGGCAGTCTTTGCCACACAGGATACACACAAAAGCAGATACTCCCTCGTTGTGAGGAAGTTTTACTCTCCGGTGCCTCCTCTCCACAGCTCGTTGTGTTCGGTTTCTTTCAAAATGTGACAGTCCATCTTTCACTATCTGTCTCCATAGTAGTCGATCTGCAGCTGATTTTTCCCATGTCTCTGTGCCTATGTTGGTATCTATTAGGTCACGTTTGCATACATCTTTATAGCGCAGCTTTGGCCTTCCTGTAGGTCTATTCCCAGTTACCAATTCACCGTATAGGAGATCTTTTGGAATACGACCATTCTCCATGCGGGAGACATGTCCCAGCCAGCGCAGACGTCTTTGCTTCAGTATACAATACATTGATGGTATTTTTGCTCTTGTCAGCACACATTCGTTGGAGACAAGGTCTCGCCATAATATACCAAGGATGCGTCTCAGACAGCGCATATGGAAGGTATTCAGTCTTTTTTCCTGTGGAGCATAGAGATATATATATATATCCTCATATTCCACATTCTCTCCAGTCTAGTCTGAAGGGCTTATGTCTCTCACTGACGTCTTACATATCCTGCCTTCTCTCTCATGTATTGTCATGATAGTTGACTTCCTAAGTCTGTTGTCCCTCTTCACTCAGACTTCTAAACTCGCTGACATTGTTTTCACATGAACATGTGGCACAGGTTATGTGCTGAAAACCCAAAACAATTTATATTTGCATGCTGTCCTGAATATTATCTTTCCAGTGAAATCTATACACCCATGATTTTCCCCCCGGGGTAATCAATCCCCTTTGTAGGTGAACATATTTAGTGAGCACATGGTGAGCTATAAAAAAAAATGCAACTACATGGCTGCACATGTGGGCATCATTTCCCCACAGCCCAGGCTCATGTTTTAGTTGATGCTTGAAACATTATAATTTCATTACATTTCATTATACGTCTTATTTTATACACATGAAAACATGCACTGAAAAACATGTGATACAAACATACAAGAAATAGGAATGGTTTAGCAGTTCCCTGAGGTAACTGAATACTCACAAAGAACTATTTCGAGCAGAATGTGTAGTTAGATAGCTATGATGGCGTTCGAAAGAGAGCTAAATTGGCCAATTTCTTGCCATAAAATATCCTAAAATATCCAAATGCGGGTCAGTTCTATTAAAAATATATGTGCCGGCTCCGGATAACGAAACAAATGCTCTGACAGGGTCTCGGCGATACGTTACTTGCCGACCTGCTTCTGCGAGTGTGCCTCCCTGCCGAGCGTATCCCCCGCGCCGCTGGGGGCTTAACTAGATGGCTGGGACTCACGAACAGCAGCTACCGCATCTCCTGCAACTTCCTCCAATTACTGTACTCGTAAGTCCCAGGCACCTAGTTTAGTCCCCATCTGCGTCGCGCGTAGCAGCGCGGGGGATACGCTTGGCGGTGAGGAACACTCGCAGAAGCAGGTCGGCAAGTAACATATCGCCGAGACCCTGTCAGAGTATTTGTATCGTCTGCTAGTATCGTCTGCATAAACACTCAAAATTATTGTCTGCTCCTATCGTCTGCTGCTACTATCGTGTGCAATGTTCATATTGTCAAGTAATCCTAGTTTTGCCGCGATTTGCTCCTTGGCAGAAAGTCTGTATTTTAGATATACACGAACACCCTCGTTTGGATATTTTTGGATATTTTATGGCCATAATGTGGCATGCCGCCATTTTGGGGGTTGATTCAAAGGAGAGCCTAAATTTTAGATGCCTAGCAGTATATGTACCCTAATCCATCTGCAAAGTTAACTCCTCCACTGAACGTGTCTGTTCAAAGGGCCCAGTCTGGCCTGTTCAAAGGGCCCAGTCTGGCCGGTTATGTAACTTTTATGACAGCTCTGTGGTCGGCTATCCCCAGGTAGAAAGATTAGTTAGATTGGGCAATGTTAAGTAATATTAAACAAAGCTTGGTTTCTTTGTCTGCATTAAAGACTGGAAACAACTTAAGTGCATAGTAAATATAATTCTTCATCTCTCAATGAACAGAATAAATTATTAAACCTAATAACTTCTGAAAACACTGATGTCATTTCGTCACACGGTGCCAAGCATGGACATTTTCTAAAGCTTATGAACGTAAAATCACCATTTGGGCGATGAGATGCCTGAGAAAAGCCACCAGCCTAACCATATGAGATGCGTGAATAATGATATGATCAGACATTATGGGAACAACATACTAGGTTTATTGAGAAACTGCAATCAAGAGGTTTGACCATCTCATTAGAATGCAGCAACATCAGTTACCATTACAAGCACTACATCTCAGAAGATCTGCTACTAGAGCAGGAGGACAGCCACAACAAAATCGATCATTAATTACCAAATGACATTTGACCCCTTCACAGCATGACAATAGCCAGTACTAGATAGTGCACTGGATCACAGATTATTCCTCCTCACAACGATGTATGGCAAAAGTGGTTCATGATAATGATGATGACCACAGCTTCCTGTCAAGTTTAATATTTTCTTCTTTTTTTTCTTCTTCTTTTTCTTTTTCTTCTTCTTATTCAGTGTTCTCTGATCATGTGCTTAATCCACTATGGGCTAAAATCTAGGATGTTGGCTCAGGGTCTCCTAAGTTTTCCCAAAGTTAAGTTGACATGCTTACTGCGTGTGGCCGCACATTACATCGCAGTGTCTCTCCAGGAGAGGACAGTCTTGCAAGAAATATTCAGCTCAAAGACACTGGCAGAGAGCTGTTTAGCAGTTGTCTAATTTGTCAGAGTTTTAGTTTAGTTGAGTTTAGTTTAGTTGACAGATAAACATCATGGCACACAGGTGTAATCCATAAGTGCTCCGTTATACTTTTAACTCAAGCCTGAGTTAGAAGTGTCTTAGCGAAGTGCATGAACTCCTCTGCACCGACCAGGATTGTGAAATACTTTGTGTTGATTTTAAACTCCAAATCTTGCCAGGCAGCATCGTAAGCCTGCCCTTTTTTGATTTCAAACTGCCAAGGAATTTTTTGCGTGCGCAACAATACACAGGGGCATCCGATCTTACTACCCAGAGACCAGGAAAAATTACGTGAAAAAATCCTAGCCCTCACAGGGGTTTGAACCTGGGATCTTCAGCACTCGAGGTGAATGCCATATCTCTAGACCACGCAGCCCCTCCTCAGAGTTATGTTAGTCTGCATTGTCCAGAGTTTAAGCAAAAATAACATATTTAAAAAGTAGTCTGGGTCTTCAGGGCTGTTTCCAATGCTTTATCTTCACAGTAACCATATTCCAGCCAGCGGATACACACAAATCTCAAGATAATATGTTGTTTGAGTTTTTACCCTGATAAAGACAGTGCAGTGTTATGAAGATTGAAACACTAATGGGTAGTTTTAAAGTGTGATGAAGATATGATAATTATTAACTCATAATTTCACAATGGAAAGAGAAAATTTAATCAGTCACTGATAGATAGCTAACTGTACAGTGTGATTAAGAGTGATTATTGATAGTTTTCTCTCTCTCTCTCTCTCCCCCCCCCCCCCCCACCCCCCCACCCGTGAAATGAAGATCTATTCACTGATGGATAACTTTACTGTGTGAGGAAGATTCTTCTTCTTTGGTTCACCACCAGTAAATTTCAGTAAAAAGTTCTGGTTGTTTGGCCACTTCTGGACTTTAGCCTTGTTCCAGAACTTGAGTTTTGCATTCACATCCATTTGGCAGATCTGGCTTATTTGTGTGCAGACTGTTGGTTCCCTGCATCTTAGGCAGATGCACTCCAACTTCGAATGAAATATCTCAAATTAGTTGACTCTTACGACATGTTTGTTAGGGGGCAGTGGACTCATTTCCCCTCCCCCAAAGCCCCCCCCCCCCCCCCCCCCCTCAATAGGGTCCTCCAACCCACGTAGGATGATGAGAATTCAGTCACGAATATACATATTTTTACAGTGTGGTGAAGATTGAATCCCTAATGGATACTTTCACTCAGCGATGGAATGGACAGTTTCACGCTATCAAAATCCTCTTTTCATCCTGTCAGATCCAAAATTGAAATTGAAGTTCAAATTCCTCTGCTGCATTTAGATTTGATGTGATGGAAATGTTATGTCATTCAAATTTATTAGCTATTTAGGTAGGAATGAATGCATCATATGTTGATTTATAGCTAGTTTAACTATCGTCTGATACCAAAAAGTTGAGTGGCACATGTTTCTCACTGCATTCCTACAGGTTTGATGGTGCATCATGTGAAGATGGGACCTGTCATTAAGAAATGTGTCCACCAGATTCCCAGTCTGATTTTGGATGCTTCTATTCAGCCGATCACAAGAACTGTTCTCAGGGTTCGGCTGGAGATTACACCCGACTTTAAGTGGGATGATAAGGTATGTACAGTGAGTGGGACTGTTTTGTGTAAATGAAGTGTACAGTCTTATATAAATTGACTGTACATTTCTGTGTATTTAAACCATAGTTTTTCTGTGAAGTACATTTCTCTGTAAATAAACTATATATTTTATGTAAATGAACTGTATTTCTGTGTAAATGAACTGTAGAGTTTTCCTTAAATGAACAACATTTCTCTGTAAATAAATTATATAGTTTGTGTAAATGAACTTTATTTATGTGTAAATGAACTTTATTTATGTGTAAATGAACTGTAGTTTTGCTTAGACTACATTTTTGTGTAAATGAACTTTAATATTGCTTAAAGAACTATTTATATGTAATTATATATTGTAGGTAACTTAGTGGAGAAATAATGAACACCATTTCAAGTAAATGCAGTTCTGTATAAATGAACATTTCACTTTGGTATGAAGTATATTGTGATGTTATTGAGAGTAGGTAACTTAGAGAAATAAACTTTTTGTAAATAGACCATATTGTTCTGTATAAATAAACTTAACATATTGGTATGAAGCACAAAGTGATGTTGTTGAGATTAGGTATCTTATAAGAGAAATAAACTTTATGTAAAGGAATCATACAGTTCTGTATAAATGAGCATTACACTTTAGTATGAGGTATATAGTGATGTTATTGAGAGTAGGTAACTAAGAGAAATAAACTTTTTGAAAATAGACCATATTGTTCTGGATAAATGACCTTTACATTTTCGTATAAAGTGCAGAGTGATGTTAGTGAGATTAGGTAACTTGTTAAAAGAGAACAGTAAAGTGCAAGACAGATCTTTTGTTCTGAACAGAAGGCAGAATAACCCACACAGTTGCAAGGAGCGGGCCATAAGTCTTTACCCCGCGATTGAAGGAATATCAGCTGCATTTTTGTTTAGTGCTTATTTTTTTTTAATATAACCAAATCTTGTTTTGACTTGCTTGAGTCATTTCCGAAAAATCTTACAAATGTAACTGTCAATTTTTCAAACTAGACCAGTTTTCACATGCCCATATGACTACTCGCTGATCACTTCAGAATGATTTCTTTTTAGCTGATTAAGATTTGGGGGTGGGGGGTGGAGTTTTAAGGTGCCAAATCTAGAATTTATGGTAGATGTGGGAGAATCTCAATTATTATTTCATTCTTCTGCTGCTGCCTTTTACCCCAACACCCCTGTCCCAGTTTGATGAAGAGGGTGAAGCATTCAATGGAACAGATTCACTGGGACCTACGAAAACATGTTTTTTGTGACTCATGCAGTAACCTCTATCTATAACTGAGGCTTACAGGAAAATAGGACATTAACTGGCTTAAAAAAAAGCAAATTTGTTCAAAGAAAAGCCCACCCTAAATGCAATTTTTTTGTTAATGTATTCATATCCTGACCTAAACATTTGCAACAAACAACAAATAGCATTTATTATGCATCTTGTAAACATGTCATAGTAAACAAGTCAAGATAGTGACATTTACGGGAGATTGGACCCAAGATGTATAGAGTGTTAAGCATGTGATATTACAGTGCATATGAACTCAGTGATATCATAATGACAGTTTGAAGACAACACCTAGCTTTTGACATGCATCACATAGATGTAGCTTTCTTTTGTTCCTTTCTTGATCAGTGAAAGGAGGAACCTAAAAAAAGTTAATGGTGCTGTATTAATATCCTACCCCAAACGGGAAATCCAAAGGTCACGGAACAGTCTAGTATTTCAGTGGGTGGTAGATAGGCTGCATTCGTTCATGGGACCTAGGCTGCATGCAGTTGTGGGACCTAGGCTGCACTTTCTCATGGAACATAGGTTGGTTGGGGTTAGGGACCGTTCTAGATGTTTTGGGGTTGTTAAAAGCATCAGAAAGACGGAAAACCCAGTCTTACCACTCTCTAAAATGTTGGACTGTCCTGTGATGTCATCTGGGGTAGGATATTAATAAAGAACCAAATTCATCAGCAAAAGAAGGTCCAGCATGATGATGCTTTCCTGTCAGTCCAGCAAGTGAATGAGTGGAGTAGGATGTTTTCAGACGGCCTGACTTCTGCAAAGACTGTTCATGATTAGGTCAAGAACATCAGGTAGTGACTACCAGAGTCAGTTGAAGGCCTTGTAAGAAAAACTGCTCACCGACATTGCCGCATCATCATCATCCTGGGCCTTCATTTGCTGATGTATTTCTATAGGTTTCACTCCTTTATTGATCAGGGTAGACCTGGCAAGATCCGATTTTAAGAAAAAACTCTCTCAATGAGGATTTAAACCCTTGACCTTCGGACAAGCAAATGAGTGTCTAGCTGCTATGCGACTGTGGCTCCCTCTATGTAGTCATGATGGACTAAATTAACTACCACACTGAAACACACATTGTTAATACCATAACATTTTCTTGAGAAATACTTTGCCAAAGCATTGTTTTTTCCACATACCATGTGATAATAACAATTATAGTTAATTAGTCTTTAGAAAATAGGTGTAAATATCTCTGTAACTTTGTTCCCATTAGATCCACGGAAGTACAGCGGAACCATTTTGGATATGGGTTGAGGATCCTGATAACAATCACATATACCATTCAGAGTATTTCATGCTTCAGAAGAAGCAGGTAAGACAACTTCAGAATAATGTAGAAAATCAATCAGTCTGGTACCATTTCCCTGCTGAAGGTCAGCTGCAGTGGAATGCTGCTCATCCATCACTAGATATTATCTTCCAAGTTTTAGCATTGTCTGCCTCTTGCTCTCGCACCTATAATTTTTCCTTCACTATATTTTTTATAAGAGTGTTATTTCCTTTAATGCGACCAGCATATTTCAATTGTCTATTCTATTATTTCTTTCAACAATTATCTGTTCATTCCCTCTTTCCAGAACCCTCTGTTTGATTGTATTTGATTCCATGAGATACAATCTTTCCTGTATAGTCTATGTGTTTATTCATGTCTGCAAAGACTGAATGCTCATTACTTTTTTATTATCCAGGATTCTCTGCAGAGTTGAGCAAACATAAAATTTGGCAGTTATAATTTTTAATTTTATTGTTTAGTTGGAGGCTACCATGGTGTAGCAGCTAGATGCTAGCCTGAGGATTGGAAGGTCATGGGTTCAGTTCTGATGATTAAAAAAAAAAAATGTTAGCTCCCAGTTCAACCCAGCCTTAAATGGGTACCAGGTAAAGTCATGAGTAATAAAGGCGGCTGGTGTGATGTTGATTAAATCACCCACCAGGTGCCAGTTGATCTATAAAATATAGGTCTAGCCCTATATGCCCAGTACGCCTGAAGGCGTGGAAGAGGCTCCTTTTTATTATTTAGTTGACATGTGCCATGCTGATACACCTAGGCCAGTGGTCAGTAAATTACGGCTCTTTAGCGATCTGAGTGCGGCTGGGCCAATCGTACCACAAATCATTTTCTCCTTCTTCAGCATTCCAAGCCCTTGAGGTTCATTGCTGCAGATATCACCCACCTCCATTCATCTCTCTGGTTGGCCTTCTCTTTCCATTTGGTGACACCAAGTATTTACAGGTCTGCCTGAACATTATCTCTCCATCGTCTTCTTGGTCTGCCTCCCACAAATCCTTTTTGACTTCGAAAAACATGGATCTTGACAGATTCTTGAAAAGAAATTTGGCTCTCAAAAAAGGTTTTAATTGTCCTGCTGCTGACTTTTGGCTCTTTTGACTAATGAGTTTGCTGACCACTGGCCTAGGCTGTCAAGTTTTAGCATCTCACAGGATCACTAGAATTACAGACCAGGTAGCTGATATTTTGGCTAAAAAGGGAAAAAAATTGTTTAGGTGCATATATGACATGCTCTTGAATATCACAGGCTGTGAAGATACATGATTGCCCATGCCAGTCAGCAAGGCACTTGATGATGATGATGATGCTGCATGTATCTGTATGCAGCAGCATCTCAGGATCCCATAATTACAGTGGCTAGTGCAATGTACTGCTAATACTGTGGTCTGTTCAATACTCACTAGAGGAAAGATTCCTTTGTACTAACCAATAGGGTTCCTTTTGACTTCTAGTCATTATGGTAGATAGGCAGGCTTACTAATGTTTTTTTTTTTTGGTGGGACAAGTTTTTGCTTGTGACAGTGGTTAGCTATTTGCATTATCCTTCATATGTAGACTGAAAGGATATAGTTCTGTCATCCAGCTACTGAGTTGAGTGCATGGTGCGACACTGTGAACAGGAGATTTCTTTTGAAATTCTGATCTGTTTTAATTGCTGCTTTCTTTGATGGTCAGCATCTGTGGCTTAGGCGTTGCGAACGAGCTTTGTAATGCCAGGGTGCCAAGTTCGATTCAAACTGCGGGTCTTGCATCTTGCGTTGGTTTCGACAGTGGTATTGAGAAGCTGACCGTCCAGAAAGCAGTAGCAAACTACTGGACGTAAATTTGCTTAGAAAAACCACAACAGCCAAAAACTGCTGGGGTTGGTTCTGCAACGTCCTGTAAAGGGTATGCAACTACCTTTTTTCTTTGATGATGAACTACCTTTTCAGTGCTGCACTGTTTGTGCTGGCACCACTGACAACTGCCTTATACATTGAATTCATGTGTTTGCTATTGGCTTTGGTGAGACTGTGGTCTATGCGGTTTTTTCACAAGTGACAGAAATGGACATTCTAACTGGTTTTCATTGGCACAGAAACAGAGCAACTAATGAATGATCCATTTGTTAAGCAGTTGGAATTGCAATTACCGGATTACCTTGTGGCTTCTGGGTCAACCCAGCCTCATCAAACTAAGTATCAGGTAAAAGTAAAGGATCCTTATTACACCAGTAGCCCATCAGGCACATGATGCGAGACCCATATTTTTATAGACCCGTTGGCACTTGGTGGGTAGTGTGGCCAACATCACACCAGTCACCTTTACTTTCCAGGACATTACCTGGTACCTACTGTAGACTGATTCGACATAAGAGCAAAAATGAGTTCTGACCCCGAAAAAAAAAATTATTCGTTTCAGTGTGTATTCAGACTCAAGACCTTAGGTCCTATCATTGACCATCTAGCCGCTACACAACCACACTTCTCTAGTGCCAGGTACTTGTCAGCATTTTCTGGAAATCATCCTCGAATTAAAGGCGGGCAGAAAGAAATCCTGCCACCCTTCCTCATATGTTGTGACCTAGAATATGTGAAGAACAAACAGATGACACCCCAGGGGGAGTAACTGCTGTGGGTATAACTTTATCAATAATCTTTATCATCATCATGGGCCATGTCCAGTGGCATTGGTGCTCATGTCTTTCCACAGAACTTGGTTTTTTGGTATTAAAAATCAGTTTCACTGATGATATTTCCACCATGCCACTACTTCAGGCCCTCAAGAATCATCTCTCTTGGTCTGCCTCTGCCTCTGCTACCATTGTTCTTTCCAGTCATTGCAGTGTTCATCAATGCTTCTCTTCTCATCACATGACTGAAGAATACTGTCTCTTTCTTATGGTTGTATATAGTTTTTTAGGAGTGGTCATTAGTTTATCTGTCCATGGTACTTGCAGCATGCATCTCAGAAACCACATCTCCAGGGCCTCAATTTCTTCTTAATTTGGAAGACTATATATCTTGTTTAATTTAGGTGGTGAATCAGGAGACTCAAAACTTAGTGTTCACCATTCCCATATTTGAGCCATTGCCAAGTCAGTACTACATCAAAGCCGTGTCTGACAGGTGGATTGGCTCCAGCGTCACACATCCTGTGTCCTTCCAACACCTCATTCTGCCAGAGAGACACCCTCCACACACAGGTGAGGTTGTTTGATGTTGTTGCTCACACTACACACACACACACAAGTCTGCCAAGAAAATGTGTTCACATTTGAACAGATGTCATCTGGGAAGAAATGGAAAAATTAGATAGAATTATGGTATCAGAGTTCCTTATCAGGATCCTGTGACCCTATTATATGGAGAGAAAAAAAATGCACTTACTGCCCCTTAACAAATATGTCATAAAAGGTGTCTAGAGCAGCGGTTCTCAATCTGTGGGTCATGACCCATTTGGGGGTCGAATGACCATTTCACAGGGGTCGCATAAGACCATCAGAAAACATATTCACCACTGAAGTTATGAAGTAGCAAAAAAATAATTGTTTGGTTGAGTTCTCACCACAACATGAGAAACTGTATTAAAGATTCACATCATTATGGAGGCTGAGAACCACTGATCTAGAGAGTCTGGGGAAATGTGATGTGTTGGTCCAAGAAAAAGTATCACTATGTGGTGTGATGTTCTCTCCATAGATGTCACCACTCACATGAAGTTCGGTCATTTTCCTCATGGTCTTTTGCTGCTGACTTTGTGTAGCTGCTAATTACCTGTGTAGCTGGTTCATTGCTGAAGATGATATTAGAGCTGTCGTCTTGCAGTATTCTCTTTCGTTGTCAGGTATTCTTCACATTCATATTTAATCGCAAACACATCCTCTCACTCTGATTGGCAAACACACACTGTCTAATCAGAGCGTGGTCTGATATTATAGCCAGGTGTTGGGCTCCACGTGGCAACACGTGGTCGTCTCCCCTCCTTGAGAACCTCGTTTTCTCCTAGTGTTTGGCTTCTCTCGGTTTTCTGTGATACCTCGAGTTCTCCCCCACCTTCTTAATCAGGGAATCCCTGTGTGAAAATATCCCACATTACAGTGCAACTAATTACGGCTTTGCTGAAATCAAATGTGTTTTTGTGTTTTGCTGTAAGGTCTATTACAGCCTAACTATAAATCATAGCACAACATTTCAATTGTCCTTTTAAGGAAAAACATAAAAGAAGATTGTGTATGTGAGTTTGTCATTTATGCATGTGATCCTGTCATTTATATATATGAGTTAATGATTCTGTCATTGATATATGTGAGAGTTTATCATTGGTTTGTGTGATCCTCTCATTGGTGTGTGTGATTCATGTGTGTGAAATTACCATTTTTTCCCCCCAGATCTGCTGACTTTGCAACCACTGCCTCTAGCTGCACTCAAGGACATTAAGTTTGAGGCCCTGTACAACTTTACCCACTTCAACCCAATACAGGTACCTCACTGCGGCTGAATGTATGTGATACTACTGGTGTGTTTGAGTGCTTGAGTCCAGAGATGACCAGTCATTTTCATATAGGTTTTGCTGTCTATGGCTGTTGTTATTTTAAAGTAGCTGTTCTCAAAGTGAGTGGTAATGTTCCCACTGAGGCATTGAATAGATCATGGTTGTGAGGTCTTATCAGAGAAAGAATGAATTGATGGATGGACAGACGGAGGGATGGATATATAGAAGGATAGAGGTCTTGGTGGTGGAAAGGGGGGGGGGGGAGGTAATGATTAAGAATAGGCAGGTAGACAAGATGGACAGATAGAGATACAGAGAGATGGATGGATGGAATTTAAGTAAGTCTTGAAGTAAATTGTGCCATTTCCAGTTTTTAAACCAATCCTCCTGGTATCTATTTGAGGCAGGATAGACCTGGAAGTCCAGATTAATGTTAAGAATCGACCTTAATGAAGATTTGAACCCATGGCCACAGCACCAGCAGGTAAGCTTTGCTAGCCACTATGCTACTGCAGCTCCTGCTTCATGAAGTTATTTGACCAATTGTTTTGTCACTTGATGTATTCAGTCAGTCATTCAGTCAGTCAGTCAATTAACTGACTTGATGTATTCAGTCAGTCATTCAGTCAGTCAATCAATTAACTGACTTGATGTATTCAATCAGTCAGTTAATCAGCAGGTCACGTACAGAACGTTGCTGTCTTCACAGCCTACCTGAAAGTCTCTCTTTATCTAGGCAATTCTCCAACCCTGTGTGCTTTCATAGCCAGTGCATCTTCAGTGTTCTGTAGTCACCTTGGTGGAGGTCAGCGTCTGCCTTGTTTTCTGTGATGAGTTGAGTCAAGAATTGACATCCCAGCACTCGGGGCATCCCCATGCATGTTCCGTCCTCATCTTCAGCAGCCAGCGCAGAGTTCCAGTACTGATGGTACTGGTCACAATCTGGTTATATGTCTGTCTTGCCTTTCCTCTGAGTGTAGTGAGCCAGTCAGAGTCTCTGGTTACACCCAGGTGCCTCATTCTCTCCAGGCCATAATAATCTTGTTTCTCTACTGTTTTCTGGAAACTGCTCCTCGCCATTCTCACCAGAACATCATGGCACTTGAGATGGACAAAATACCCCAGCTTTCAGGACAGGATTTTGGTGTATTAGATGTTATGATTATAACTAATGAGCTACATATATTTTCTTTATTGAAATGTATCCTTTTTAATAGTGTATGAATATTTTAATGTTATTAATTCTAGACGCAGATCTTTCACACGTTGTACCACAAAGACTGCAATGTTCTGCTTGGTGCTCCAACTGGTTCAGGGAAAACTATAGCTGCAGAGTTGGCAATCTTCAGAGTGTTTAAGGAATACCCTAAATTCAAGGTACTCTTTCCATAAATATTAGGGCAGTATGGTAACACAGTTGGATATTTCTTTTGGTGATTATGATGTATAGTTTTGTATTTGAAACTTTATAGATGTTTAAATAACATCAAAAAAACTTCATTCATTAAAAAAAAGAAGAAAAAAAGAAATAAGAATATGCACCACGTCAGCACCTGTGGCTTAGACGTTGCCAGCGCACTTCGTAATGCCGGGTGCCGGGTTCAATTCCAGCTGTGGACAGTTTGTCCTGCAGTGGTTTAGACAATGGTACCAAGAGCTGACTTTTCAGGAGCAGTAGCAAACTAGTGAATGTAAAATTCTGGGGTTAGCGCTGCAGCATCCTGTAAAGGATACGCAACTAACTTTTTTGAACCAAGTAAAATGTGTAAAACCTGATCAATTTCAATAGCATTTGTCAAAAAAAAAAGAAAAGAAAAAGAATAACAGCCACAAGAAATTGTGTATTAGAGTTTTCACAACCATTGACCATGTCCCAGAGTTAATGATAAATTGATTAAGTTAGCTGCTGCGCCAGCCAACTAATTTTCTTGTAATGACCTCCTCCTGTATTGGTCCACATCATATTCTCAACTAACCTATAGAAGCCACCCTCTCATGCACCACCTAGAGGATGTCTTAGTTGAGGTTTCAACTCCACTGCAATCGGGTCACCCCATACTCCCTCTGTTCCTGTTACAGTGAAAATCAAATGAAATGTCCCTCACTGTCCCATTTGAAAAACTGGTGAACAAACAATTAGTCCTGGCCAAAATCCAGAAATATGCGCACGCAGTAAATGCATATGACAGTTGCCAGAGGCGCCAAAGCCAACAGTCGTCACCAGAAATGCAGCTTGTCATTAATGGAATTTGTCGGGCAGGATGAGTTGACTACACATGTAGAACCATATATAATAAGGTATTTCACCAGCCAACACATAAACTTACTTGCAGCCGTATTGAATACAACGTATCAACCACTGCACAAACAAAGGCATTCCATATATATATATATATATATATATATATATATATATATATATATATATATATATATATATATATATATATATATATATATATATATATATATATATATATATATATATATATATATATAAAACCACAGCTAACAGAGCTGTAGCAAGCGTTAAACTCAGTAGCTTATGCAGCGAAACGGTAGCCTACCGTCCATATGGGAAAACTGCTTTAGCAGGGTGCTGTTGGAAGCAAAAATAACTTCAAATTAACGACTTTAGTGATTTTTTGGGGGTGGGGGTGGATATTTGAGCCTGAAGATTTAGGGCCACATGGCTAGTGCTGTCGCCACTGACTGCAAGTTAAGATTTTATTTGACCTTTTAGTGATTTCTGAAATGAGTGTTGTGGCCAGCCATGTACAGTACAGTCTTTCTCTACCAGGCGGTGTACATTGCTCCCCTGAAAGCCTTGGTTCGAGAGAGGATGGATGACTGGAAGGTCAGGATAGAGCAGAAGTTAGGCAAGAAGTAAGTACATGCATGTGTCTGTTTTATAGCGCCGACTTTAGTTACATTGCCTATACATTTTCATGGTATTATCTTAGTAAGACAGCTGTTCTCAGATTTCCATTATTTTCTTTTTTGTTCATCCAAAGTGATGTAATTGCATTTTGCCTGTTGACAGCAAAGATGAGATATTTGTGTCTTTTGGCAGGCACATCCAGTTTCAGCAGGCATTCGTTCACCACTTGTAGCCTTGCCGATTTGTTTCATGGGACATGATGGAGCCTCGTTTGTGTGATGTCCTCTTTGTTCCTTTCCGGGTGTTGCCTCAGAAGAACCCATCAAGGAAAACCATGTCTAGGATGATGGGCCCTTAAGGGAAGGCAGGGGCAGATTCCCTGCGATCCAAAGAGTTTTCCAGAAATGCAGAACCGACACATGGTACTCTGGTACTGGGCTGACCCAATAAACATCACATCCAGATATCCATAATGACTGAAATAAATAGTAATTTATCTAAGTTTAAACAGCAGAATAACAGCAGTGATGGTATAATTTCACGGATAAAATGTCATCCAGAATGCAGTGTAGTAATCTGCTGAAGCAGGCCAGTCTGTTCAAACATGTGGGTACCTTGGTAACACCAAAAAGAAAATCTCTTTGTCTTGTACACATCTCTTTATTCTTTCTGGCCCACTTTTCTGATATACTAACCAATTCTGTCTCAGGTATTTCTAAAGCTCTTTCTGTCCTAAAGCTGTATGTGTACATTTTGTAACACTAAGAAATTTTTTCTCAAAGATTTAAAAACAAAAAAAATTTTTTTTAAAGGATGCATAGTGCTTAGAAACCACTGGCAGAAACTGAAACAGTTGAAGTTATGTTCTCTTAGTTCATGTCTTTGCACACTGGGCATCCCCATGTGGGCTCAGTCCTCCACTGAAGCAGCCACCTCAAGGTACCTCTACTGATTGTTTCCATGAGGAGTTGGTTATAGCATCTCCTGTCTTTACCTTGAAGATGACATAGACAGGCTTCACCAAGCTTGCCTCCTCGGTCGTGCAGTTGTGTTAAAGGAGAGATTCGCCATTATTCCCCAACCTAGTCCCTACAGCTTTGATGATATCGTCTCTGTCCATGCTCCTTCCTGTTTGCATTGGTGCATTACTTGCCAGCTGGTCAGCTTTTTCATTACCATTTACTCCTGCCTTCCTAGGTGTGTACCTCTAGATGATGGAGGTTAACTGCGATTTTTCGGCCGTTGTAGTCTTTTTCTCAGCAAATTTATGTTCAGTAGTTTGCCATATGTTTCCAAACAGTCTGCTGTTGATACCCCTGTCAAAAACAAGGCGGTCTACTGCCAGATCACCTGCAGCTGGGATCCTCCCCAACATTACAGAAATCAACGGCAGCCGATTAGAGAGAAATAATTCTGAAGTTACTGAGATAGGCTTTCATTGAAGAATGACGAAAATGCAATACACATGTGACCCTACCAGAAGTAGACTTGACACAATCTTTGGGCAGTGTCATGAGAGGGGTTAGAAATGATGTGTTGTCATATCTGGAAAATGTTAAGGGAATAGAAGCAGAGACAGACGTTTAGAGAGACCAAGAGACATGTTAGCCACCGCTGCTGCCTGTAAAGTTATGTGACTGAAATTCTTCTTCTTTGGTTGGCTTGAAATAGACTATCTATATTTGTAATGTTGTCTCTATTATGAACTTCACCGTCTTTTGCACCGATGTTTCTCTTGGCCAAAAGTTTTGCCTTGATATGACTAAAATAAAACAATTCTTATGGGCTCACAATCAACATATTCTTTTTCCTGGTCATAAATTAAAAAAAAAAACTGTTTACAAAGTGAAAAATTATGATATTTTGATATTCTTTATAGGGGCTACGTGGCCCCATTTGGGAAAAAAAAAAAGGGGGGGGGGGGTAGACCCACTGACTTCCCTAACATGCATATCGTAAAAGGTGCCTATTAAGGGTTTCTTTCAAAGTCGGAGTCCATCTGTCAAAGAGGTAAGGAAGCAACAACATTCTCCCTGCAAATAAGCCAGATATGTAAAACAGAAATACATGCAAAACTCAAGTGATGGGACAAAACCAAAGTTCAGAAGTGGACGAACAACCAGAAATGGCTGCTGGAGTTTACAGGTGATAAATGCTAAGAAGAAGAAATAGAAGATATTTGATTGAGTGATTGTAACAAATTAACATCGTACCTTATTAATTTCAGACATACAGTGTAGTGATAATTTAACCCTTTTTCAACAGAGTTGTAGAGCTGACTGGCGATGTGACCCCAGATATGCGTGCTGTGGCCAATGCTGACCTCATTGTCACCACACCAGAGAAGTGGGATGGTGTCAGTCGGAGCTGGCAGACAAGGAATTATGTCAAGGCTGTGGCGCTTCTAGTCATTGATGAGATCCATTTGCTTGGTGAGGAGCTGTTTTCTTTCTGTGAACAAGTTTGATACTGGTGGTGAAGATGTTGGTGGTGTTTTTTATTTGAGACGAGTATGAGAATGGAGGTGGAGGCAGTAACGGCAGCTTTCCGATGGCTCGAGAGCAGTACAGCCCAACATGTGGTAACAGTAACGGACTTACAGCGCATGTTTTGTAAAATAGAAGCTGGCACGTAGAGTGGCCTGCATCACTTGGTAAGGCTCAGATCAGGGGCATATCATGGATTTTCTGTCCAAGAGATTTGGGTGTGTGGAGTAATGAGCAGCCTGATAGATTGGCTGCTGCACCTCCTCTGGGTGTTGAGCTACTTTATGACAAAGTGGATCTGGTGAAGGCTGGGATCAAGTGGACAGTGCAGCAGAACAGACTGATCATCCATACACTGAGCAGAGTATCTGGAAGATATTCAACACTGAGGAGAAAACATGGGCAAACTTTTAATCAGGTTGCAGCTGATACTGTTAGCATATCACGCCTTCGTTGGCTATTGAGAAAGAAGATGGAGCATATTTGAGAATGTCCTGAGTGCAGGGATATCAGGTCTTGATTCATCCACTCATTTAAGACAAGTATTGTAAATTAAGGGAGGTTCTGTACCTCAGTTGTTGGACACCTGCCTGTCAGCCGAGGGTCTTGAGTTTGAATCTGCATCAACCGGGAAGGCTAACCCGGTCAACAAATGCCCGCAGAAGTCAGATGTGTTGGCCGAAAGGTGCAAATATCGCAGCCATGCTGTAAACGGACACAACGCAATTACATCTTCAGATGAGCGCAGAAGAAGAAGAATCCACATCAGGGCAGACTTTTTTTTTTTTAAATGGACCATGGCTCTGGGAGGTTTCCATCTGACCCCATCAAATGGCTTTAAAAAATATGGGTCTAGCACCATATACATAATACACCACTTATGTGAGAGAGTCCTAGACCTATTTTACTATACTAAATCAACCTTGTTTACTTTTCATTGGTGTAAATCTCTTTGTGGGTTTATGTCACTTCACTCTGGTTCCCTGTCAAGTCAGTGTGGTTTTTGGTCTGAAATAAGTTCTTTGACCCTGTTGCTTCCAGTGCAAAGACATTCTGATAGTTTAGTTCTCAGTTTTCTCAGCCTGCATCCTGTCCAAAGGCAGCATCTTTTCTTCACTTTTTGAATCACTGGAAAATGTTCAGTTCTCTCTCAAACTATTCTCTTATACAATTTAATTCTCCCTATTCTGCACAGACACAACAGTTGATGATGTTTATAGTTTGAAAGAAATCAGAGTTTAAAAGAAATTGTTAAGATTTTATAATGTATTGTACCCTCTGTTCTTTTGTTATATTTATACATTACTTGTGATTCTGATGTGCAGGTGATGATCGAGGACCCGTTCTGGAGGTGATAGTGTCACGCACCAACTTCATCTCCTCTCATACAGAAAAGCCTGTTCGAGTGGTGGGTCTGTCGACTGCACTTGCCAACGCCAGGGATCTGGCTGACTGGTTGGGTATTAGAGAGGTGAGTTTCATATTTATTCTGTTGACCGCTGCAATTTTTATGTTTGCATCACTTCATTCTCAGGGATGATCGCTGTGTAGTTTTTCTCATTACAATAATTAAAATGTTTGTTAAGATCTGTTGTATTGAGATTTACTGCATAGAACCAAATGCTCATCTACCGACCTGCAGCTCTTGGGTTCAGATCTGCATTGATGCAGATTTTAAAAAGTTGACCTTGATTACAGTCAACCCAGCCTTAAATGGGTACCAGGTAATGTCCTGGGAAGTTAAGGCGGTTAGTGTAATGTGGACCATGTAACCCACTGAGTTTGAATGGTCTGTACAAGTGAGTGTGTCTAGCTTTAAATACCAGGTGGGCCACTGGCATAAAAGGTCTGTTTTTTTTTTTACTTTTCTTCTTCTTCTTCCGCCTTTCTATCCCCCAATGGAGCATAGGCCCTCAACCAACTCACGCCAAGTCGTTCTATCCTTCGCCATTACATGGAGCTCTCCCCACGTCCTCCCAATCTTTCTAACCTCATTCTCCAGCTCTCTTCTCCATGTGTTTTTTGGCCTTCCTTTATTCCTATGCCCCTGTGGGTTCCAATGCAAAGACATTCTAGTTATGCTGTTCTCCTGTTTTCTCAGTGTGTGCCCTATCCAACGCCAGCGTCTTTTCCTCACCTCCTGATCCACTGGAGCCTGTTTAGTTATCTCCCAAAGTTCTACATTAGTTATTCTATCATACCATTTTATTCCCTCTATTCTGAGCAGGCACCAGTTAATGAATGTCTGTAATTTATTAGTAATTGCCTTCGTTGTTCTCCATGTTTCCGCCCCATACAATAGTACTGATTTGACATTAGAATTAAAAAATTTTAGTTTAGTATTTATTTTAATTTCTTTTGACCTCCACAAATTCCCTAGTGCTATGAAAGCCCCTCTTGCCTTTTGTATTCTTATTTTAATATCTCTATCAGTTCCTCTATCTTTATATCTAAATAGGTGTACGACTCGACGTCTTGGAATGGGGTGCCATTAAGAGAAACCACACTACTGTTTGCCTGATTTATTTTCATTATCTTTGTCTTTCCTTTGTGGATTTTCAGACCAAGCTGCTGTGATCTCGCATTAAGTATATTTAATTTATCTTGCATCTGATTTTGTGAATGGGACAGAAGAGCAATATCATCAGCGAAGTCCAGATCATCAAGCTGTTTTGTAGGGGTCCACTGAATTCCATTCTTGGTGTTAGCAGTTACTGTTTTCATAGTCCAGTCTATAGCCAGTAAAAATAAGAGAGGCGACAAAAGACATCCCTGTTGCACACCTGTTTTTATTTCAAATGCATCTGTTAGCTTTCCCTCATGAAGAACTCGACATTTCATGTCTTTATATGTTGCCTTTACTAAGTTGATAATTTTCTGTGGGATTCCATAGTGCCCCATCAATTTCCAGAGAGATTCCCTATCTATGCTGTCAAATGCTTTTTCATAGTCTAAAAATCCAATGTAAAGTGGTGAGTTCAGTTCAATGCTTTGCTCTATTATAATACGTAATGTGGCTATCTGATCAGTACAGGATCTGTTTGACCGAAAACCTGCCTGCTCATCTCTTAGCATTTTATCAATAGCATCTTTTAATCTTTATTTTTTTACTTGACTGAAGGATTTATTGGCTAAAATAATAATTGTCTGAATCTAAAATGGTTCAGATAATAACATAATGGAACAAAAGAAACTAAAATAATAAGGGGGATTGAATCCGTCAATACAGCTAGTCTTTCCTCTTGAGCTTAGGGTGGCATATAGGGCAGAGGTCAAGGCTCTCCATTTCTGGCGGTTCGTTGCCACCTGTTTTAGGTCTTGGGTTTTCAGTCGGCCAGTCAGCCCATGTTAATACAGTAATATTTTGTTAACATAAATTCCAGTAGCTAAAGAAAAAAATCAAGAGTTCATGCTTTAAAAAAATCAAAACATGGTGCTAACCAGGGACTCTGGTTAATTCATCCCTGCTGCGACCAAAATTGTTTTTGTGTAAACCAGGTTTTCTTCTTAAGCAAGCTCTGGGTAGTCTGGTAGTCTTAGTTTCAGCTTCATAGCAAACGGGTCACCCCATCTTTGCTCCGCTCCTGTGCCAATGAAAAACACTCAGAATGTTTATCACAGTATTAGAATTGCAGTTCATCATTGATGGTAGCAGAAGTCGCCAACAAATCAGCAGTTGCACCCGCAATCAATTGTAATCACATACGGGCACCACAACACTGCACAACAGGCATCGCGCCATTTTCTGAATCTACAATTTACACCAATACGTTGGTCGCAGTAAAAAAAAGCAAGCTCTGGGGTTTTATGGTATCACATGTGGGAAAGGCAGAAGAATTTGATGTCATGTCATGTCATGTAATGGAGTCCTAATAAATGCATTGTGAGTTGCATTCTACCGAATGAGCTAACAAGGTGTGACAGGGTACTGAATGAACTAACAAGGTGTGACAGGATACTGAATGAACTAACAAGGTGTGACAGGATACTGAATGAACTAACAAGGTGTGACAGGGTACTGAATGAACTAACAAGGTGAGACATGGTACTGAATGAGCTAACAAGGTGAGACATGGTACTGAATGAACTAACAAGGTGAGACAGGGTACTGAATGAACTAACAAGGTGAGACATGGTACTGAATGAGCTAACAAGGTGAGACATGGTACTGAATGAGCTAACAAGGTGAGACAGGGTACTGAATGAGCTAACAAGGGAAGACATGGTACTGAATGAGCTAACAAGGTGAGACAGGGTACTGAATGAGCTAACAAGGGGAGACATGGTACTGAATGAGCTAACAAGGTGAGACATGGTACTGAAGAGCTCACAAGGGAAGGCAAGATAGTTAATGATGATATTAGAAAACAAGCCAATGTGTTATTTATGTTGTACTTCTTTAAAAAATAATAGGAACAAAAATGAATCATCACCAGTACCAGTTGACACAACGAACAAAATTGCTCAGTCTGCAACAACAAAAAAACCTTGCTTGTGAAAGTTAAGAAAAACAAATATTATTTGCATAATTGAGATAGCAAGCTCATACCAGAGCTCTATTTAGTACTGTTTATTTCCTTATTAAGGTGAACTTCTTCTTCTTCTTCTTCTTCGCATTCATTAACTGTTAACTCTGTCAGTAAGTTCTGGTTGGTTTTCTAGTTCCCGGACTTTGATCTTGATCCAGAACTTAAGTTGTGCATGCACGTCTGTTTTAGAGGTCTGGCTTATTAATATGCAGACTGAAGGTTCCTTGTCTCTCAGTCAGATACACTCTGACTTTTTAGGAAGCACCCCTCAATAGTCGTCTTCTGCAGCATTCAAGGGGGTAGTGGGTCTGTTCTTTGTTCTCCAAAATGGAGTCCCAGAACCCACACTGGGAATGTGAGATAAACAAGAAAAGAGAAGAACGAGGGCTGGGAAGGGGGATACAAAACAAGACCAATATTATTTCACTTTCAGAAAATCAGTAGATGCTGCTAAATTGTGTTGATTTATGTAGCCGCTAATTACTGAGGGCCATAGCAATGCAAAGATTAAACAGCATTACAAGCCTATGGTTAAGCACCAGCAAGGAAATCAAAATTAAAATGTTTGAAAGCATACATCTTCCCTGTAGCAACATATTGATGTGAGTCGTGGACTATCTCCTAGTTCTCATGGAAGAAAATAGGGGCTTTTGAGCTGAAAGGCCATGGAAAGATGCTCAGAATACCATGGGCAAAGAAGAAGAGAAATACTGACATTTTAAAAGATCTGAACATCAAGGAAGATTGGTTAATAAACAGCCTCTTGTCTCGAAAGCTGAAATATTTTAGTCATTTCAAGTGCCATGGTGGATTGGACAAAAATAATAGCAGAAGGCATGGTACCAGGAAGGAGGGCAGGGGCCAACCAACATGAAGATCGGCACAGGATATAAGTGACTCCTTGAATATGAAAGTACATGAGGCAGGAGAGCTGGCGGGAGACCAAGTTTCTTTCAGGCAGACCGTGATGAGAGGATGTTCTGCAAAAGACCTGCTTCATGATGATGATGGGTTATTGATGACCTGATTCTTGACATAGTCCATGTTAAACAGTTTTCTGAGACAGACAGACACATCAAGGAATCAGCGACCTACAGTTTTCAGCGACCTACAGTTTTGTGAATATCAAAACCCACTTACACTATTTCAATGAAAATAAAAGACAGCTAAGACCAACAGAGATGAGATTTTATAGTGAAATGGACAGATACAAAGCCTAGTGAAAACCAACTCACAAAGCAGACTGGTTACCTGCATTAGCAGAACCCAGATCACATTGTATTGTCATGTCATGAGAAGGTAGTAAGTACATCATGACAGCAGGGAATTTGGAGGATGACAAGGGCAGGGGGAGACCAAGAAAGATGATGTTAGACAGTTTAGAATCATGAGATGGAGGAACAGTGTTTCAGAAATGGTTGCCTGTATGCGAGACAGCTAGTTACAGACAGACATGATGGCCACTGCTAGTTGCAGACAGACATGATGGCCACTGCTAGTTACAGACAGACATGATGGCCACTGCTAGTTACAGACAGACATGATGGCCACTGCTAGTTACAGACAGACATGATGGCCACTGCCACTAAGCATAGTCTGTACGAAAAGATGGCTATGGAGGCTAGTAGGCAGAGAGAGAGAAACAATCCTGACCGAAGTCTTGTAGTTGAAATGAGGCGGAAAGTGCATAAGATTCACCTTCTTAAGGACAAGTTTGCTTTTGAGAAAGCATGCGTAGCAACAATCTTTATGGGATGAGTTCAGATTTGTGAACCCATGTTTTATGTTAGTCAAGGACTCAAAGTTACACCATTAGAAAGATACCTATAGCTCTGAACTGAGTAGGCACATTTCTAGAGAATATCAAGATTAAATGGCTGAAACATATGCTAAAGGTATCCCCACTGATGATTGAAAGCCTCATTTGTTTTGCTAGTGCCCTGTGGAGTTCCTGCTATTTAAAAGAAAAAGTCTAAAATCTAAAGTGTAACTCAATATCTCACTTACAAAAATTAAAATGTATAGATGTAAAAAAGGTGAAAGTTGTCCATAACTTATAGACAATAGTAAATGATGGATGTAAATCAGTTTTCATAGAAACAGATCATTATGTAACAGTTGAAATGTTAATTTCCACAGGTGGGTTTGTTCAACTTCCGCCCCTCAGTGAGACCAGTCCCACTAGAAGTCCATGTGAAAGGTTTTCCAGGACAGCACTACTGTCCTCGCATGGCCACCATGAATAAACCAACCTTTCAAGGTAAGCCTTCATGGTAACATAAATGAAATATGTATAAGGCTAATCACGCAACAGTTATGTGAAGGCAGATTAAATGTCCACCAGTGGCATACTTCATCAAAGGAAGAAGAGAGAGGTGGCTTGGACATGTTTCCAGAATGCCTCATGACAGCTCTTTGGTGGATGTCCAAGCAAACCCCCAGAAAGACAGTAGAAAGGAAACTGAAGGATGCCATGGACACAAAAGTCAGCAGACCTGCAGCAATGAAGTTCACATGAATGTCCTGCCTTTTTGGTCAGCAACAGCACAGAAAGGATATATAGATAGAATTATGAAACAGCCTTCAAGCAGATTCATCAAGCAGATTATGAAAAAAAGTTAGTTGCATGTATTTTATAGGACATTGCAGAACCAACCCTGGTATTTTTTAGATGTTGTAGTTTTTGTGTGTGGCACATTTACGTTCCGTAGTTTGCCACTGGTTTCCAAACAGTCTGCTATTGATACCACTGTCAAACACGAGGTGATCTGCTGTCAGATCACCTGCAGCAGAGATCGATCCCAGCATCCCAACATTATAAAGCGCATTCGCAACACCTAAGCCACAGACGCCTACTCAGATTATGAAGCGACAATGAAATAAGTATGTTTTCCCTTAAGAACAGTTGTTAAATCCCCATTCTCTTAAACTCTTTCAGTCACATGCAATGCACATTGCCTTTATTGTATCCCGGCCATTATATAATATGTTCACTTAAAATCTGTTAACATTTAGTCAAAACAGAAATAATTTACACACAGTAATACTTATCTAGCTCTGTCCATCAGGTCCCCTATTCTCAAAACAAAACTCATTTTAAATTAAAATATGCAGGTTGTTCATGAGAAAGAATGTTCTTTTTTTTTTAATTTAGCAATCAAGACACACTCTCCCCACAAGCCGGTCCTAGTGTTTGTGTCTTCTCGAAGACAGACACGCCTGACAGCCTTGGATCTCATTGCTTTCCTTGCTGCAGAGGACAACCCAAAACAGTGGCTCCATATGCCAGAGGAAGATGTGAGTACTATGTTTAGTAGTGTTTCTGTTTGTCTGCTAAACAATCTTAGCCTGTAATATTCACAAAACATTTATTTTTTGCATTGATTAAACATGCTTGTCATTTTCTTCATTAAATACTTTCAACAACCATCTGTTCCTCTTTAACAGAATAACACTACAGTAAATAAATGTCATGGAAGGACAGAAACATGAATAAGATAGTCGTTCAAGAAACAGATAAAACGTGTAAACTGATATAGAGAAGTTTGACTTGGGCGTTAAACAAAGTCCAGGGTGGGTCAACATGCTGTGAAACAAAATTAATGATGCTTTTCCTGGCTAGAGGCATATTGGGCTGACCTATATTTTGTAGACCAATCGTCACCTTGTGCGTGATGTGGTCAATATCACTTGGGTCACCATTACTCTCCAGGACTGTGTCTGGTACCAGTGTAAGGCTGGGTCGACCTAGGAGCCAAAGTCATTTTTGAAAAAAAAGTCCAGCACCATCAGAATCTGAACCCACAGCCTTCCAGTCCACAGGTGAGTATCTAGCCGCTGACCACTAGAGCTCCAATGAAACTGAATCGCTAAGGGTAAATTGTTGTACTTTGGAATGTGAGGTGCATAGGGTCACATCTATCGTTTTGTCGTCCTCTTGATTTTCTGTGCTTCTTCCCCAGCCGGCAGGCTTTACTAGGGTGACTAGATATTTCCTCTATTATTAAAACTGACAGTGACCTCAGAAGTCTAACCAAGTTAAACAAATACCTTTAGGTTGAATATGTTGGGTGACAGGCACTGATATCTCAGCTGTGCTGTAAGCAGACAGAACAGTTATGCCCAAATACAAATATGAAGACATAGACTGTCAGTTTTTATGTGTGGGTATATTATGAGGAAAAATAAACTGGAATAACATAGTGTACAGACATATATACAGATTAATAACTAGACTGCTCAGTCATGTGGCATTGTTGAATCATGATCATATACCTAGAGACCAGCAGTTAGTAATATGGTGAACTATGGCCAGCCACGCTTATCAGCCTGATACATGTTGATGATGTTGATACTGCCAGAAATCCCATTAACAAGAAATACTGGGTGAAGAAATTCAGCTCTCAGTTTTGTGAAAATAATGTGATTCTCATTTAATTTGGATATCATCAAGATCAAAAGCATTCTTCTGTGTGCACCTTTAGGCATCTGTGTGATAATATTTACACAAAGCTATGATTGAAGAAAGTTTTTGACATGACCATAAAGTTTGTCCTGGAATTTACCCTAAACATTCTGGGACCCCATTTTGAGAGGGAAAAACAAAATAATGATAGACCTTACAAGCATGTTGTAGAAGGTGACTGATTGTGAATTTCATTAAATAGGATGTGTGATTGGGTTTTTAAGTTCTGATTATGGAGCCTAGCTGTAAACCACAACAAAATATACCAGCTGCCCTTGTAAAGGCAAATACAGAAGAAAAAAAAGATCCTGGAATGGAGTTAATGTAGCCAGATACATTTTGTTTGTATTTTTTATGTTAGACACTGGCAAGAGAAGTCAGAGATTGCTGTCATAATAAGAAAAAGATACAGGTTATAGATACTGATGTTTATAAAGTTGAAGTTTCTTCTTCTGCATTCAACACCAGCCATGCTAAATATTCAGTCTTGTCCTTGTTTGCAAACAGAACCTGAACAGAATTAGAAGTGTAAATGTTTTTCGAATGTTCTGTCGTGTGTTGCCGGTTACGTTAATACCACGGATACCTATCATAGCATGATACAGTTATTTCTGCTGTCAAGCTTATAGGGTATTTTATATACTGAAAAAGTTCACACAGAACATTTGATGCCTGGAAAGTGAGAGGTGTTTATGAGACGACTTATTCCTACAAGATTTACAGCAGCATCATCGCCGTGTTTTAGCTTTCGTTATTCGTCAAGCGCATACCTGAAATAAGTTATCCAGCCAAGACTGGAAGATGTGATAACTAAGGCAACACATTGGATGAAGAGATCACAGGCTTCACGTGAGGACACCAGGTATGTTGTTGCTTTTTATCTTACATTTTTTTTTAACTTTGTGATTAAATACATTCAGTTATTTTATATACACTTGTAAACCTAATACTTAATATACACTGGTTAATTATACCATTTTCATTTTACACCCTGGTTATCTTTTAAGTTACCTCTCATCAATTCTATGATATGAATTATGTATCCAATGAAGAATTGTCTATTTAAGTAGTGGTCTGTTCCTTCTCCTCATCCGCTTCTTCTTCTTCTTAAAAGGAGATTAGACATATTATGTAGTAGTTTATAGCTAGGCTGCAGTATCTGAACTATTCGACCCAACACACCCGATTCCAGCAAACTCTTAATTAGTTGTCTCTTACAACATGCTTGGGGTGGGGGGGGATCTACTCTCATTTTCATGTCCAGTGTCTTCTCTTTCATGTGCTACTAATAGTTTCTGATTTAGAATGAATGCAGTGGCGAGGCATGATCAGTTTGCACATGTAAGTGTTAGTGAGTACTGATTACACTGGCGAGTGTCATGGGATCTTTCCCCCTTTCTCGCTTCATTATTGCGAGTATGCGTGTGCATCTAGCATGTAGTACTAATAAGATTTCACACGTTACAATTTCTGCATAAGTGGCATAAACATGCTGCAAGTGTATTTTTCTTCGCTATGTTAATACTTTTAGCAAACTTTACATGCTTGGCGGGACGTAAATCAAGTGGCATATTTGTAATAATTAGTAAACAAAAATAACAAATAGGAAAATAATGCATTTTTCTTTTTGCAATGGTAAGTAAGCAGTGATTACACTGGTTGGGCACACACCTCACCACTTGAAAAAGTTTACTTATTTTTCACTGGGTTAAGAATATGGCACACATTCGTGTCTTACCTTCTGACCTTCTGACCTCACTCCTCACATACACTATTCTATTCATACATCATTTAACAGGTAACAAATAAAATTGTCAGCAACATGTTGAATGTTGAATTAAGAATCGACATCTGAGAACTCAGGACACCCCTATAAGCGCTCCATCCCCATCTTCAGCAGCAGGCGAAGAGTTAAAATTCTGATGGTACCAGTAACTGTCTGATTGTATAGCTGTTTCACCTTTCCCCTGAATGTTGAGCGTCGGCCAGATCCCCGTATAACTTCTCGCAGTGCCATTCTCCTCAGACAGTAAAGATCTACCTGTGCCTCGGCACTGTTCACTCGCTCCCAAAGGGCCCTCATAACATCCAGCTTGTCATACATCAATTTACCACCAAGTGGTGCAGAACCTGCCATTTTATCTGCCTGCTCATTTCCCAACACACCGGCATGACCTGCAAAAATACCCAATGGATGCTAACTACCCGGGACCTCTGAAATGATGCTCGCCACTATGCAAGGAGCATGCCTGTCCCCACCTTTCTCAGCATGCTCTGAGAGTCAATTACAATGACGGCATGTGTGTACAGCTGATTCCCAAGCCAGCGGTAGGCACCTCCATTCTCAAACTAGACATTGTGATATCATATACCAGGCTTTGTTGCAGCAAGCGACATCCATTCGCCTGCTCTATGAACCCCCATGCACTTTGTCTGCCCCCCAACACAGAGCCATCTGTATAGACCATCACATCGCCTGGGTGGGAATTGTCACGATTCTGCAGCACCAGCTGGCCAGTCCCTGCACTCACGTCCCAAAGTGATTAGAACCCTACACAAGTCTGAAAACCTGATCGGACACTTTGACCCACTCGTCTCCTCGCCTAAATTTATCAAGCCTGCACACATGTCCTAATGTGTCTTCAGCTTGTGCCATCCAAGACCTTCCTCTTTTCAGTTTGAAAAGATGTCAGCAACATTTAAGCCTTAATTACAAATACTGGAATGTTTATATCGACATTTCTAAATATGAGACATTTCTCCAAGACATGTTGCCAGTCAGTTCATTCAGCATCTTCACTCTTGGATCTCCCCTGCATTTCTAAATATGAGACATTTCTCCAAGACATGTTGCCAGTCAGTTCATTCAGCATCTTCACTCTTGGATCTCCCCCACATTTCTAAATATGAGACATTTCTCCAAGACATGTTGCCAGTCAGTTCATTCAGCATCTTCACTCTTGGATCTCCCCTGCATTTTTGCCCTTCCTCTTTTCTGTTCTCATAATCTACTTTAGCTTATTATACAGTACGCATAACCGTCAATCATGCTTAAAAACATAAAGAAAAAAGAATGCCGCAAACCAACTCCAGCATGTTTCTGCTATTCATTGTTTTACTAGGTAATGTTACATGCCGTAGTTTGCCATTTCTTTCAGGACTGTTTTATGTACTCATAGTTGTCACATCAACACAATGTGGTCTTCTGTCAGTAAATTCACAGTTGAATGTGACTTGATATGCCAGAATTATGAAACTGGGTTCATAACCCTAATGCAACAGTTACCATCTGACCAGTCATGTTTACAGATAAATTTAGCGGTCCTGTTAGTAGACCTTGTTACTGGAACCACTGTCTTCCATATACTTTTCCTTTTTTAACGTTCACCAGCTGTAAACTCTGGGAAAGCTCTGGTTGTTATTCCCTTCCGGTCTTTATCTTGTTCCAGAGTTTTGCATGTACATCCATATTTCAGATTGGGCTTATCTGTGTGCAGACTGTTAGTTCTTCACCTCTCAGGCAGAGGCACTCAGACTTCGAAGGAAACACCCCTAATTAGTAGGGTTTTTATTGTTGTGGGGAAGTGGGGGGTGGGTCTGTTATTTTTCCCCCTGCAATGAGGCCCTGGAATCTATACAGGGATCTCACATCTGGGTTGGATACTATGAACAACCTGTACTCTGATGAAAACTATGAACAACCTGTACTCATTTATGCATACTGTGTGGTGGAAATTGTGTATAACCTGTATTCAGTTATGCATACCCTGAACTCTGTGATGGAAACTATGAACAACCCGTACTAATTTGTGCATACCCTGAACTCTCTGAT